TTACTATTACTATTACTATTACTATTACTATTACTATTACTATTACTATTACTATTACTATTACTATTACTATTACTATTACTATTATTATTATTATTATTATTATTATTCTTATTATTATTATTATTATTATTATTATTATTATTATTATTATTGGAAAGTCATTAGGTGTCCTGTATCTGTTCAAGACGAAGTAACACCAAAATGTTTTTGTATTCCAGCAATAACAGCTTATAGCAATATATACTGGGGCTAAAGAAGTTCATTTCCCCTCCAGCCGTTGAAAAGATTTGCAGCTAAGCTCAGAGGGAACAGAAGGGTCCATGGGGGTAGAAGGTGATGTATTTGTCCCTACTAATTAAAGAATACCAGCTGTTTAACGCAGTGAGCCACTTCACTTACGTAAACTACAGAGAAAATCCAGTCTATTTTCGGCTGGAACAGCACTGACTATCTGTATTCACGGGTGGACCACAGTTCAAGTAATGGCATTGCAGGGGAGCTTAACTTGAAATTCTGAGCTAAAGTGCTCCCTTGCTTGGACCACTAGCCATTCCTGTCTGTATCTGTGCCCTGGCTCCAGAAAGTGGGCACAGGCAAATGCTAAATCAAGAGTCAACAACAATGACCCAGAAATCAGAAAAATCAGGAAGCAGGAATATGTCTATCACATAGTAAAAAAGTACAGCCTGTTGTGATCACTGGAAGCAAAATCAAATGGAGAATTACAGAAAGAAGACAAACTTGTTGGTTGAGGAACCTTAGGAACATCACTTGGTTTGGAGATGCCTTTTGCAAAGTTAGCGTTACCATGATGCTCTCCAGTGTCTAGCAGTAGTTGACTTTCAGCCTCAGTACTGTCTTCCAGTACTTTTGTTGTTGTTGATGATGATACATTGTTTATGACTGCCAGTTAAGTGCATTACCTTTACTTGTCATGTACAGTGGTGCCTCGCTAGACAGTTACCCCGCATGATAGTTTTTTCGCTAGGCATTGACTTTTTGCGATCACTATAGCGATCCTATGGGGGAATTTCACTGGAGAATGTTTGGTCCCTGCTTCGCAAACCAATTTTCACTAGACAACGATTTTGACAGCTCCCTCTGTGCTCAAAAAATGGACGTTTTCGAGACCTAAGCTTCGCAAGACAGCTATTTAAACAGCTGATCGGCTGTTCGCAAAGAGGCTTTCCTATGGCCGATCTTCACTAGACAACTACGATTCTTCCCCATTGGAACACATTAAACAGGTTTCAATGCATTCCAATGGGGAAATGCTTTTTGCTAGACAATGATTCCACTAAACAGCAATTTCAGTGGAATGGATTATCATCGTCTAGTGAGGCCCCACTGTACTCCTTAAGGGAATCTGTTAGGAGGCACAGACATCCAAAACAAATTAAATGGAAAGTGCTGTGATATGTTGAATACCATGAGCAATGATACAAGTGGTAGATACGGAAAACTGATTTATTTAATTATTTTTTAAGATGCTGCAAATAATTGGAATATTTTTGTTGCATGAATGCAACTATGAAAGTTGCATTTTTGAGGAAAAGGATTTAAAAAAAATATAAATAACCTCTCTCAGCCTTTTAATCTTATATTTGCATCAGTTTTAACATACAGTACTTGGGATCAATTTGCAACTATCAGTTTGCATGATGTACAGCTATGTATGTATTTTGTGGGGGGGTGTCTGGTTTTTCTTTGGTCAGAAAGCATATTATTTTAAACAGGGGGTATAGGGGTTGTTCATTTTGCATCTCGCTTTTTAAAAATCATTTTGACATTGGTGAATGCTTGTGCCAGTGTAAATTGTGACTGTGTCTGTGGGGGTTGTAAGGGTTGTCTAAAATTGGCTGCTTGGATGACAGGTTTCTATACAGGTTAGAAAAGGACTTTTCTTTTTTTAAAATCTGCTTCTGTTTTTCTTTTTAGTGCTGTATCGTTTTACCAATATGCAACTTCAAAACTAACTAACTGACTAACTAAAATCAATAAACCCGGCTCATGCAGCTTGTCTAGTATTGGCTGCTGGGATTGCTGCTTCCAGCAAGTGTAGGGTGGAGAATGAACTGGGGAAGCAAGCGAGCACGCCTCTGGAGCTGAGGGCTGCCTCAAAGCTGCTGCACCTTCCCACCCTCTCTGCTGAGGGAGAGGAATACCCACACTATAAATATGACCATTTTAAAGTCTGTTTGAGGAACTCCTTTTGCTGAGAGGATCTCTCTGTACTGAGAAACATGTAGCTGGTGTGTGTATGTGAGAGAATGAGTGAGTGCACACTCTCATTCACTCAAGGAAAGAAAAATAAGGGGAAAGAGGGGAGGGAATTGAGGAACTTGTCAACTCCTCAACTGACTTTTTGTGAACCAGCTTGTTTAAGGGGGGAGGGAGGAAAAGGAAGAGAAATATGAAAATGGGGTGAGCAAATACACCTTGCCTGGAGACTGAAAGGGTAAGCAAAGAAAGGGAATGCTTTTGGGGTATACTTTTGGAGGAGCCAGTCCCCTGCCCCCAAAAGATTTAAAATCCTCTCAAGAGGATACATACACAGACCCAGAAACAGAACAACTACCGTGTGCAAATACCTCCTTCCAAAAATGCTCCTTTTTCATACTGTAGCCACATTCTCAGTGGTGAATATATAACCCATACTGCAATTAATAATGTATTCTAGCCATTAAAGATAGACACAAATCTGAAAAATGTCAATTCATTTTGATCTGTGATTTGTTAAGGTCAACGAATCACAAATAACGAACTGGTAATTTTTTCCTGATGAATTTATGAAGCAACTTGTCAATTCATGTTAGCCTTTGAAACCCTATAATACAGGCCCCCCTCAAGAACCAAGAGATGTAAAAGCTTCTCCTGACTCTCCTCTACAAGTTCTGCAAGTTTGGTGAGGTTTGGTCTTTGGATAGCTGAATTATACACCCAAAAAGAGGGCCCCCTCAGAAAAGTTCCACTCAGGCACATAGAAACACCAAATTAAGAGAGAAATTTCTACTGACTGTCCTATAGGAGAGTCCTTCCAAGGTTAGTAAAGACTGGGCTTCAGACATCCAAGTTATACACCCACAAAGTGAGTTCCCCCCAGGAAAGTGCTCTTCAGCAGCTGGCTTGGGGAAACTCAATCTTCATCACACTGGGAGGGATTCTAGACAAAAGTCAGGGGAAGATCCTCTGTGTTTTTTTGGGGGGGGAGGGGAATTTTCCTGGGGGGGGCTCTTTGTAAGTGTGGTAAAGACTGGGCTTCAGACATCCACGTTATACACCCACAAAGTGAGTTCCCCCCAGGAAAATGCTCTTCAGCAGCTGGCTTGGGGAAACTCAATCTTCATCACACTGGGAGGGATTCTAGACAAAAGTCAGGGGAAGATCCTCTGTGTTTTTTTGGGGGGGGAGGGGAATTTTCCTGGGGGGGGCTCTTTGTAAGTGTGTAACTTGGACATCAGAAACCCAATATTCAACAAACTTGGAGGAATTGTAGAGGAAAGTCCAAGAATGCTTATCTGCCATTTTAGTGTCTCCATGTGCCTGGAGCATTTTATAGCCCAATGAATAGATGCATCAAACATCACTAAAATTCATTGGTTCGTATTTGTGAGGGGTATTGATTCAGATTAATATGAATAGATAAATCACTGATTTTTGATGAATTTTGAAATTGAATTTTATTCATGCCCATCTCTACTAGGAACATAATTTATTTATTCATTTAAACTGTATACATACGTTCACATAGTAATCCTATAGATCAGGAGACAAAGACATTGATTTGAGTGAGCAGAAGCAATTGCTGTGCCCTAGACATTAAATTTCCCATCTTAGGACCCTACTAGCATTCAGTGTAAATTCATTAAGCATCACAAGTTGAAAGTTAACTCTTGAGACTCCACACCAGGTTATCTGGCACATTTTTAAACAAGTGAAAGTAAGCAGAAATAATATTGAGAAATGAAAAATTTTAGTCAAGGGGTGATGAAGATTAATTCAATCAGTGGAGGGCATGGAGAAAAGCATAGAGAATTGCACAGTTATATATAGGTGTAGAGAGATAGAGGGATACTGAAGAAATAGCAATGTTTGATAAAGACTTAGAAAATTACAACAATAGGACAGCGATTTATGACATGATTCTGAAGTATTTCAGTGCCAATCTTTATGTTATAGATAGGTCAGTGTTAAGTACTTACTGATTGCTGTTGTTTTGACTTATATACTGCTCCATAGTGCTAGAGCACTCTGGGTGGTTTGTAACATTATTCAAGAAATACTTTGTCCCCCAGCAAGCTGGGTACTCATTTTACTGACCTTGGAAAGATGGAAGGCTGAGTTAATCTTAAACCAGCTATCTGAATCCACTGGTATCAAACTCAGGTTGTGAGCACAGGCTTGACTGCAGTACTGCAGTTTAACTATTGTGTCATGGGACTAGCTTGTGTTCAACTTGTCACAACAGGAACTTTTTTCACTTTTCAGATGTTGCAAGTTAGACTGCTTTGTTTTGTGATTTGTCTTCAGGACATAACCATATTCTTGATCTACCATTCTGATTGCTTAGACATGAAAGTCTGCTTGAATCATATTTCCAAAAAATTATATAATTTCAGCTATTAATTACACTAATAGTTTAACCCAATTTGTGCACTGATTAGAATCTTACTCTATGGAAACTCTATTTGGCTGTAATTGATTTGTTTAAAACTAAATGAAACCTCAACACAGACAGAGAAAGAGAGAGAGACTCAGACTTGATCTGGTTAAGTCATGTATGAGCTTCATGTCCATGCATTGTTCTTCATTTCCATTCTTCCCTCAGTTTCACACAATTTTGGCATTTTTGTTATGCTTTGGCTTAAACCACAATTTCCATTATGTGCAAAGTGGTTAGAACATAGAAATGCAATGCAAAGCTGAAAGCCATCTTCAGAGGGCAAAGTTTGCTCAAAATTAGCTGGTAAAGCTTTGGAACTGAATGTAACACTTACTGGATCCTTCAGTGAGAGTGCTGTTTATGGAACTCCCACCAGCTGAACTACACCTCTTGCTGTTTTTGAACTGTTTCCTCCGGATGGCCCAACGATCTATGGCTTCTTCCTGTGGGTGGTCACCAAGTTTCACATCTTTCGATTCTTGCTCATTGGACAGTATTACACGTACATCTTCTAATGTGGTTGCTGTATTATCTAGAAGGAAAAATATATATGTATAGATGGATATAGATAAGAAGACTGACCATAAAAAACAGTTTGCAAACCACCGCACTTTTTACAATATTCTACATTAGGCAAGTTAAGTTCTGTTGAAATAAGAGGATTAACTCTCCGTTCAGCTTGTGCAGCTTTTTCATACATCACAGAAAAAAATCAGCTGCATTATTTTCTGATAAGAAATTTGAAAGATTCTTAATCAAAATGCCATGGCATTAGTGTGGAGTGCAAAACATCAGCTCCAAGATTCTTAAAACTGCAATCCTATATCCATTTGCCAAGGAATAAGCCTCGCTGAAAACAGCAAAACATATTTTTGAGTAGACATGTATATGATTGCAATGCATTTTTTAAATAAATACAAGCACTTAACAAAAACCGTTGTCACTAAAGGCTATCTTAGAAAATACGTGTCCTAAGATTATGTCCACTGTGACCATATTTGCATTGACTAAAATGGGTGGAGAACTTGAGGCCCTAAAGTATGTTTTTGGAATAGAACTCCCCTCTGCCTAGCTACACAGTCTAAAGTGAAACATTACAATGGGTGTAACTAAACAACATACAGTAGTTTCTATGGACGGAAAAGAGCAGATACGGATTAAATGGTTTTCAATGCATTCCTATGGGAAATCAGCTAAACGACATACTTAAGGCCAGATGTTCCCCAACCCTGATTTATGACAAAGTGATCCCTCCCATGAATAAGGCCAGATGTTCCCCAACCCTTATTTATGACAAAGTGATCCCTCCCATGAAACTTGTTTCTTTACCACATGCAATCTTATGCAAATATTGTATTCATATATTTTTACCCTGCCTCTCTCTTTTACAGGAGGCTTACAGCACAAAGTCTAAGAGAGATAAAACTTTAAAAATGCAATAAATCATAGTATTAAAGCCCTCCAGAACAGGTTACCACATTAAAACAAGTACTGGAGCCACTTAAAGAACAGGACAGAAAAGAAAACCACTCCTCAGTAGTCAATCAATGGTCAAGAACCTGTCCCAACAAAAATGCTTTTCCTTGTGGGACAATGGTAGCAGGGATAAGAAAAGCCTAGCTTTATTTCAAAGGGAGTTCCATAACTTGGGAACAGCCAGCAAAAGTCTCTTGTGTTCTCAGGAAATGTTCTGGTGAGGACAAAATGCAATGGGACAGAAAATAAAACATCTCCCAGGATCTCAAGATCCAGGCAGGTTCAGGTACCGTATTTTTCGCTCCATAAGACGCACCTTTCCATAAGATGCACCAATTTTTAGGAGAAGAAAACAGGATAATATAATCTGTTTTCTTCGCTCCATAAGACGCACAGACTTTCCACCCCCCTGTTTTGTGGGGGAAAAGTGTGTCTTATGGTGCGAAAAATACGGTAATTCAGATAGCCTAGACTCATATAGATTGTAATCAGAACTGGTGAACGATGAAGATAAATGAATAAATAGCCAGTTAATCATTGAAAAGCCATACAACTGAGCAATGGAGATTTCTTTTGTAAACTGGGTAATAACCAACTAGATACAGATTATTGGTAATTTAGGTTGCAGACAATCCTATATACACAACGTAGGAACAGTCCCTTTTGAGACTGGAAGTTGTTCCTTTGAAGTAACCATAGATAATATTCTATCACTGCCTATAAAATAAGTAGAGCTTGGTAAAGTTGCTTTTCTGGACTACAGCTCCCAAACTCCCCGAGATGGTAGTACCAAAATAATAACTTTTCCAAGTTCTTAAAAAATTCCACAAAATTACACCACACTTAACATTGACAGTCACCTGCAAGCACGTTACTCTAGCCATTTATTCAAATGCAATTGTAAACTTTGCCTTTTTTTATTTTCTTAGAGTGGTGATACTGAACGTTGACTGAATATCATGGAGCATTCAAAGCACTATTATCTATAACACATTTCTCTTGCAGAAGCCCCACTGTAATATATAGAGTTTCTGTAAGCATCTGTGCTTTATAAAAGGAAACAGTTTCAGGATGGAATTTTAAGCCATGACCGAGATGTTCCAGAGTCAGGGTGAAGATCCTGCTTCTTTCTATGGAAAAGGGATGACTCAATGGCTAAAACCTTGTTGCTTAGCATAACACAGTTCATAATGGTTGTTGTGGGTTTTTTGGGCTTCTTCAGAGGACAGCACTCTGTGCTCTGGCTGGCCACTGATTTTGCTGGCCACTGATTTCGGTGGTCTAGTGCTGTCCTCTGAAGATGCCAGCCACAGAGACTGGTGAAACATTAGGAAGAACAACCTTCAGAACATGGCCAAAAAGCCCAAAAAACCCACAGCAACCATTAGATCCCGGCCATGAAAGCCTTCGCGAATACACAGTTCATAATATTCAGTTTGTTCCTAGCCAGAAACTAAAGAGTTCCCATCACAATTCTTGAGCATTCCCTAAGCCAGTATGCATATGTACCTCCGAGAACCACTGGAGGCTGTTTCTGGCCAGCTTGGAGAAGACTGAGTGTTACATTAAGAAACAGGATTTCAGCTAATGGGTGTAATACAGAATACCCCATGTACTGCACTCATAAAATATTTTCAGAAAACATCAGGAACTCTGGGTTGAATAGAGCATTACTCCAGTAGTTAACACCCCATCACCACCACCTTTGCTGACGCATCACATTATGCAACAATTCCATTTTTGCAACTAATAGGTTGAATCCAACATAATCAGGGAAGACTTGAAATGAATAGGACAAGTTAATGTGTGCCTCAAGCCTCATTGTCCAGTTCCAACAGAGTCAATTTGCTGATGGAAGAACTTCCATCAGCTTGGGAGGAGTGAATACTTCTCCTGCTCAGCCCTCCAGACCGCCTGAAAGTCTGCTTGGGATAATTTTCTAACCCTCTGGAACAAAACCCACAAGTGTGCAAGGTCTGGGAGAGATGTCCCAACACCTGGTTCTGCTGATGGACTTGTTTCCATCCTGGGTGTGTCAGACTGCCAGATGCTGGCCATTGATTTTGGTGGTCTAGTCTAAGCATGATGAAATCTGGATCCACCCTAAAATGTAGTAACTGCCCAAGTTTGAAATAAAAGAAAATGAGGGACACAGGTTTCAATGCATGCTGACAAAGGAAAAGGGCAAAGAGAAGGACAAGGAAAATAGTAAAGAGGCAAAAAATATCTATCCCTGATTGAAAATCAAGCTGCTTGTAAATAATTTAGAAATTATTCATTTTGGTGCCTCTTTAACAGGAAGAAGAAGAAAAAGCTTTGAAATGCAGTTTCCAGAAACTAAAAACTTCCTTTCATTCTCAGAGGAAATCTTTGATTGCCTTTTGCTTTGTATTCATCTCAATTAAGGATATTAAGTTATCTTTGTTGTATCCTCTTGGGTTATACAGTTTGAAAGCCAATACCGCCTCTTTAGAGTATGGTTTCACTTTTTGTTATCCTTTTTAAAGTCTTTCAAATCAGAAATACAGTGGTTTATGTGTTCTGAATCACAAAGCAATCTGCTTTCCCAGGTGCAAAGAATAAGGAGGTCTTCACAGTTTTGGCGCTAATTATGCAACTGTTTCAGTTTCCATGCTGCCATCATCAATAGTTTGAAATTAACTAGATGGTCATTGGGAGGACATTAATCTATCTTCCAATGGTGATAAATCAGCATTTTTCCCCCTACTATGATACACAGGAATAAATCAGCATCAGGAAAGTAAGAGCTATTTGTACAAATTGGCTCAAGTAGAATTCCTGATGAATAATCTTTGTCTGGAATTAGTGAAAGTTAAAGCCAAGAGATCAGCCTTATTATTCATTCTAAAAGGCTCACTAGAATGTAGAGGGAATAGTTTTATTTACCTGTAAATATTATTTGTTTATCTATTTCGGCTGGTCAGATTAGAATTTGTATTCCATTCTCAAGAGAATTCTCAAGAAATCTTTTTTTGCACCCTAGCCACATGACTTGGGATACAAGAAATATAAGGATAGATTTCTTAACTGACACAATCTCACTGCTGGAATTTGCACCATTTGACTTACACCAACATACATAAATTAAAACATTCTGGCTATAATGATACATAAGGCTTTCAAGGTAAAGCTTCCCCTTCGTTTATTTAATTTTAAGTTTATTCAGTCTTTTTAAACATTGAAGCCTTACAGATATCAGCAATTAGGCCTCAATTTTTATGATTGAAAAAATGCAAGAGTTTTTAAAGTTGTGTCTACATAGCTTTTGTACTGGAGTTCAGATTTAGGAATCCATTTAAAATTTAGCGAAGTTCCTTAGTCCTCATACAGATGTTACATTGCAACTTTTGCTTTGACGCATATCAAGAACATCTGAAATGGCTCACCTGTCTGATGTTTTGGAGATGTTGTGTCTGGATTTGGGCCCATATTTATTTCACTCAGTACTTCAGGATTTTCATAGCTGGGCTTGGCTAACTCCTGTGTTTGTTCTGCTGCTAAATGTGTTCCATAACTATCAGATGAACATATATCTTGGTCACTGGAAAGCATATCTGATACTTTTGTGAATGAAGTACCAGCAGAAAGATGCTCATCGTCTAGAGGGCATGAAACTCCATCAGCTTGGAAAGAATGCTCTTGATACGTTGAATCTTCATGGATAACATCAGGCATTTCCTGAACTTCAGGCAAACTCTGGAATTCGTTATCTAGATCTGGTTCCTCAACATCCAAAAGAGGTGACATAAACATTTCCCTTATGCTGCAGGGTAGAATGGGCTCCTTTTTTATTGCCAAGCTAAAAGAATCTGCCATGGACTTATTGTCACCTCGAATGATAAGTCGGCGTTCTAATTCACCAGTTATTACAGTCATCACTGATCCTCTCCTTTTCTTTTTTGTTTCTTCGGATTCTGCAAGACTTAGGTGAAGATTTCCAGTAGGCTGTAATTCTATATGTTCATCTTGGATGCCTTCTGTCTCATCCTGAGGAGAAATATTATTCTGGTCATTATAATTACTTGTTGGACTTCTAAAAAGTGAGGAAGCCTGGCTAAATGATCCTTTGTTTTTAAATTCCTCATCCACTTGAACTTCATGGTGATCACTCCTTACAGCCTCACAATCAAGCTCACTTTTTGCTAAGTCAGGATACTCCTCATGAACATCTGACCTTCTCAGAAACTTAGTGGGTCTGTGTTCCTCTGTTTGTCCTCCCCTGGAATTAACAACGGAATGAAAATTCTCTGCTGCCATCTCCTCTGTTTCTCTACAGTCTTCCATGTACTGGAAACAATGATCTATGAAAAAGGCATTGCTTAATTTTCCTTCAAGCTCAGCATGGTACAGAGTCATGTCATGGTCATATGAGGTGAAGGCATAACAGCATGAAGATTTCAGATCTCTGAGATTACCAAGCAATGATGTCAAACTGGAAGAGAGTTCTGTGCAGCTGATAGGTGTAAGTGTGCTATTATTGTAAATATTTGTCACTTTGCTTGGCTTGGGCAGCACTTTTAAGGATAAAGATGGCATTGAATAAAAACCTGAGTCCCGTCTAGGGTGAAATGATGACAGTATATCAATAGAGGTGGCTGGAAAAGAGTATCTCCTTACATTGTTCGATTCTATATGTGAAACCGGTGTAATATTCTTTGTTTCCATTAGACTGTTGTTGCTTCCCTGCTGCACATCACTCATTTCATCATTAGGTTTACTTCCGAAATGGATTTCTCTGGAACTGTAATCTTCCTGAGGAGATGTCCCAGTATAGCTGAATTCTGAAAAAATGATGTCCTCGTAGAAATCTTTTTCATTGGAACACTCCATCTTTTTATTGTCTTTCTCTTGAAAGAAATCACCTCCATCACCACAATTTAAGGCAACTTGGAATGTTTCCATATCACCAGCTGGCCTTAAGGAAACAACCTCAGTGTTGCAGTCTAAGAAGGCTTCCTCAGAGTCAGCAAACTCAGCTGGAGGAGGGATAACAGTGCCCCACTCTGAACAAGTGTACTGCGTGAATCTGTCTTCTTCCTCTGGAAGGCTAAAGTCTGACTCAGAGTCTGAGTGGCAACATTCCTCTGTTCCAGAATAATCTGCATCGCTGGCAAATGTATTTCCATACTTCGAAGGTCTCACCTGATCACGTTTTTTTGGCTTATTGCAAGGCTCGATGCTAACCATTAATTTCTGCTTCCCACTGACATATTTTACCTCAGTTTCCTTTTCTATGATGCTTACTTTCATTGAAGCATTTTGGTTATTGGCTATTTGGAGTGTGTATTTAGGTGTCCTATATTTTCCAGAATGCCCAGCAGAGGGACCAGACTCCTTCGGCTGTTTACAGCAGTGGTCTCTGTGACATCTTCTTTCCTTAGGGCTTTTCCACCTTCTGGCCACACAATCCATCCCAGTATCAAACAATGAATCTTTCTTCATTTCCAGTTTCATGGTAAAGGAACCACATTTCACTTCCACAATAAATGCTTTATCTGACTGAAGAGAATCGGCATCGTCAAAACTGCATTCCTGTGTGATATTTACTGCTGAAGTGGTTCCTGATTCATCCATGTTTGCCACTGCTAAGACATCCTCTTGCTGAGCCAAAAACCCCAACAAACTGCAATTCTTTTCTTGTTCTCCTTCTTTCACACTGTCACACATAATATCCTGTTCCTTGTTTTCAAGATCATCTCCATCATATTTTCTTCCATTCTTTTCTATGCAAGAACGATTGTTTCTGTTTTTATCAGGCTGTATGACATTCATGGCTTCATGGATGTGAGGATCAGTTGCTTCTTCTTCACCTGTTCTATTTTCAACACCAGTGTTTTGTTGGCATTGGCAAATGGCTGGGATATGTTCATCTGAAAAGTAAAAACAAAGCAACAAATCATCTTACTATTGTTAAAATAAGAGCACTTTGAAATTAAGGCTGACCATATATTACCTCTCTCACACACAAACTCATTCTACAGACAGATATGCATATAGTTATGCATATAGATAGATATATAGTTGTAATATAAATATATAGGTGAAAATAGGGAATAGGTATGTACCGTATTTTTCGCTCTATAAGACGCACCTTTCCATAAGATGCACCAATTTTTTAGGAGAAGAAAACAGGAAAATATAATCTGTTTTCTTCGCTCCATAAAACACACAGACTTTCCACCCCCCTGTTTTGTGGGGCAAAGTGCGTCTTATGGTGCGAATACATGTGTGTCTGTGTATATGCATGTACGGAATAGGTATGTACCGTATTTTTCGCTCCATAAGACGCACCTTTCCATAAGATGCACCAATTTTTTAGGAGAAGAAAACAGGAAAATATAATCTGTTTTCTTCGCTCCATAAAACACACAGACTTTCCACCCCCCTGTTTTGTGGGGCAAAGTGCGTCTTATGGTGCGAATACATGTGTGTCTGTGTATATGCATGTATGCATGTGTGTGTGTGTATGTGTGTGTGTACATATGTGTCTGTGTATATGCATGTATATATGCGTGTGTGATATTTTGAAAGATGTCCAATTTTTCAATTATATGTTTCTGTGTGTATTCATATAAATGCATTCATACACACACACACACGTGTATGTTTGCATGTGTGTGCATGTGTCTATCCATACAGATACATATATATAAAAATGAAGATATTTTGAAAGATGTCCAATTTTTCAATGATCTCTTTATATAATGGAAGATGGGTTTTGCACAGGGTGGGTGCATTCTGCATTATTTACAAAAAAGAGGAAAAATCTGGTATGATCAGAGATGAAGGGAGATGGTGGCAGGGAAAGGGAGGTTGTACCTATGATGGGACGTGATGTTCCTCCAATCAGCACCTTGGTAATAACTAGCAATTTGCCATCAAGTCTTACATGATTTCCTCTATGCAAGTATAAAATAAGGAAGCAACTATCCTAATGCTACAATAGTACCAGTTTTAAGAATGTTATAGTCATGGTGTCCCTCAGTAAAGAGTAATGATTATATTTTGTGGGACTGTTAGATCTCCCAAACTTAAGAGGTAACAGGCTGCAAAAACCCACAGTTTGACAGACCACACAAAGGCTCTCTGAGCTAGAGAAAGAAAAAAAAATATTTCTAGTTTGTTCAGTTTTACATGAGTCTTAAATTTGTTCTCTTCCTTTTCTAATTAATTAATTAATTAATTACATATATGAAATATTATTCCTATGAACTTTCCTTGCATATTGCTCTTAACATACACTTTAGTGCACATTTTTTGCCTAATCTATTGAAAACAATATATGCCTAATATAGCTGTCCATACCGAATACACACATTTTTGTGCACAGGTTTTTTAATTATTTCTGAGAACTGCAGCTGAGAGTTATATTGTAAATTTTTTAGGAATGCAAATACCAAAGGATGATGACATTCCAATTCAACTATCTGTTGATTCAAGAAGTATGACCACCTTCTTGTCCATCTCTCTTCTAACTGAAATATTATTCCTATGAACTTTCCTTGCACATTGCTCTTAACATACACTTTAGTGGACATTTTTGCCTAATCTATTGAAAACAATATATGCCTAATATAGCTGTCCATACCGAATACACACATTTCTGTACACAGGTTTTTTTAATTATTTCTGAGAACTGCAGCTGAGAGTTATATTGTAAATTTTTTAGGAATGCAAATACCAAAGGATGATGACATTCCAATTCAACTATCTGTTGATTCAAGAAGTATGACCACCTTCTTGTCCATCTCTCTTCTGGCCGACCCAGGCTTGTAATGCTGATTGTCTGAAACTACTTCTTAGCTTCCTTTGGACTATGTTGTATTTTTCACCTCTGAGGACTGAAGGCAATGAGAGAACACCCTGAAGTCAAGGATAATTTGGGCATTCATTTGAGTGGAGTCCTATTAGCGTCATTTCACAACCATAAAAGAGCTGAAAACACTCCTTAAAGACTGCTTCCCTAAACAGAAATAAGAAACTGTCCTGGGCTGAAACATCATCTCATAAAACTACCATTGCCATTTATAAATATTTAATAAAGAAGCCCAAGTGTAGGCAACACGGCCATAATTCAAGCTGGAAGCAGCTTTATGGCACTCCATCAAGCTGGTTTCTACCATGTATCCTTGAGATAGACTCCATTCCTCAAAGCAAGCTACCTTTGGGCAACATCTTGTGATGGGAGGTGGAGGAATCTTTGAGATGTTCATACTAAGTGACTGCAATCACCTTTGTTCTAAGGAATGATCTCTGCCAACTTACTTTCTCTAGTATCAGAGCTTTTCCGACCCCTGCAGCTTCTCCTCCTCTTTCTGCTCATGTTGGAGGCTCGAAGGTTTTCGGGGTTTCCCAGCTCTGCAGTTAGATGAAGGAGACAATCATTAGAAAGCATTCGTTTCCAGATTTCATACATTCCTCACCATAAGGCCGGGGACTGCAGGTGAGTTCAGAAGAACTGAAGGAACACAAATGGACAACAAGCTAAATTGTTTTAGCTACAATCTAGGATACCACCAATCTCCTTGCAACACTGACAAGAGGTTATATTGTGTGAAGCTGGGTTATCCTAATATCCAGTTGTGTATGTGTGCATGTACACTCCCATGTGGACATTTACACATATGCATCTACAGGTACACACATACCTGATGGCACAGGAACTAACTTTGCTAGCTGGGGTAGTCTAAGATGTGATTTGTTCCATTTTTCCAACCACACAACTGGTACGAATGAGCACTTTACATCTTGGAATTGTAGAAAATATTTTTAAAGCTGTATCAAAAAGTCCTCCAGCCCCAGACCCAATAGATTAGTATAGTCAGACATGATGTCTTTCAATAATAGATTTGTTCTATTTTTCCAACCACTCAACTGGTACGAATGAGCACTTTACATCTTATATTCTGATGTTGAATGTGTTTGTCTTATTATATGACTTGTTCTTTATTTTACAACTCCTTATTTAAGCTTCTTACTTGGGACCATCATACCATATGTGCAAGCTAATTTTTTCAACCCCTGTCAGCCACTGCCCAGAAAGAGACTGTTTCTATTTGGTGCAAATAACAAGCAGTCTTACTTATTTACTTACTTATAAATTATATGCCCATCAAAGGTTCTTCATAAAAGACTAAAACAGATTAAAAACACTAAAAAAAATCTTTATTTACTAGAAGGTCTGAGTAGGAGTTTATGCAATCATGGCTGAAAGTGAGAAGGTCAGTGAGGTGAAAATAATCACATTAACTCTATGGCACTATTCTGCTCTCCACTTGTGAACGCATGGCTCTCTGAATGCACAGAAATATTACTTTGGAGCCAGTGCTGAAAGCCAGTGTTTAGTGGCCAGAATGTCAGAACTGGGAAGATCCTTGTAGAGAAGAGCCATTGCAAGTGCTTGGGAAATGTTACTTGTTGGATTACAACTCAGAATCCCACATAAGTGATCATGCTGTCTGGGAATTCTCAAGCTGTAGGTCAAATGCCTAACATTGCCACGCTTAGTAGCTGAAGGCATGTTCCAAAGGGGAAATGTCCTAGGTTTATTTTCCACCATCTCCATGTGGTGAGTCTCTGCTAGTCAATCTAAACCAGTGCTACCCAACTTTGGGTCATCAGATGTTCTTGGACTGCCACTCCTAGAAATCCTGACCAGCACAGCTAGTGCTTGATTTCAAGCTGTGAGAGGAGCCGCAGTTCCTGATAGGCAGGTGGGCCTACCATGAGGAAGAGTGAGGCAGCTGGCAACAAATTTGGGGGATCACAAATGGAAAGTAAATGGATACTCATTTTGTTTTGTTATATGTTTATTGCCAGAAATGGTGAATGATGCTTGTGGGATTTTCAGCCCTCATTTGACAAATAATATGGTTCGCTTTGTATACTTTGCACCCTGAAGTTCAGGAAGGTGGACTCATTGCTCTGTTGTAGGCAGAAACATATCTTCAGCAAGCTTATCTTCTGTATTTTTTTTCAGCTGCCTTTTATAGATATTATGTGCTGTCAAGTCAGAACCAACATAATGACTCTAGTAGGGTTTTCAAGGTCAGTAAGGTGTGGTTTTACCAGTGAATTTCCATGGTTGAGGAGGGATTTGAACCCAGGCCTCCTGAGTCTTAGTCTATCACTTTATTTATTTATTTGATTTATACCCTGTCCATCTAGACCATTGGTCTACTCTTTAACCACTACATTACACTGAGTATCTTTTTTAAAGATAGCAGTAATCAGATCAGGCATTCGTAGCCTTGAGGAGGTATGGAAATCCTCTATTGTCAAGAGATCAAACTCTATGCTCATCATATAAATAATTCTACTGTATATTTTGACCTTCCTGATTGTTGAAGTATTGAATACAGTGCTTAAATTACTGATTAAAATCATGGCAAAGCTTAAGAGTTTGCAAAGTGCAACTCTAGCAGCTGTGGAAGAGTCAAGATATTCCCCCTCTTTTTTTTTTCCAAAGGCGTTGATAGGAGGTTTTTAGCTCTGTCACTTGCACTGACATATTTAGAAGCTCTCTATTTTTAAAAAGGGAAGAATCTAACTGTCAAATGATGAAAAGATGGTTTCTATGATCCCTCTCCCTCTAATAAGTTGGTCTTTATAGCAATTAAGTCTTCACAATGTAGGGCAATATAGTCTTTCCTGAATGTTCAGCCACCTTAAAAGGATGAACTTAAAATGGTCATTTTTAAAGTTCCACACAAGTAACAGTGTAATTCATCATTCTTACAGATCGAAGAGTCACACTAATACTTTAAACAGTTTTGCCCCATAAAGGATATCTTTAGCTTCTCCCAGTAGGAAATAACATTTTTATGGACTGTGCAATATCCCAAAGAAAGTTAGCTAAACAAATCTTACTGGGACAAGAAATTCTTTAATCAAAATCAGGGGAGCAGAATTTATCACTGTGTTGTCAGGTCAGAGAGTCTGAAGGCTGAAAATCTCTGGAAAAGCCCTACAGAACTTTATAGGCTTCTAGAGAAAAATCAGAATTTTTTGTGTTACAGATGTTTTCTTAGATCCAAATTATCTCACACTGACTGCATGGATGACACCCAAATGCTTAATTGAAGCCAAAACAAAACACATATTGTGATTTTATCCTCTGGAGTTCTTGAGACACTCTAAATTAATGGAAATATTTGTGTACATGGGAAATCTTGCAGGGTGCAAGTGTTGAGCTGCTGGACAGCAGGTCAAATATTAAAAATTATAAAATATACAGTACTGTGCAACCTAAGGATTTGGGGCAGGGTACCAGAGACTCTGTAAGACTTTTTAGATTTTCCTCCTCAAGAGAGGAAACATCTTCAGAGAGATCTTTCAGAGATCTCATCCTTCAGAGAGAAAGATCTAACACCTCCTAGTCTAGGTAGAGGCATCTGTCTCCTTTACCTTCCTGATATCATAACTCTGATGGAACTCAGTAGAGATAAAATTGGGGGAGAGTTTGGATTGGAATCAAGGCAATGTTTCAAAGAGGCCTTGTGCAATCACAGACCATCATCATCACCACAGCAGGAGAAATTTATGCCATCATAAATTTGGGTTATTTCCCAAGAAAGGAGAAAGTATTTCAGCCTCACATTTCATATCTTATAACATTTGAGGATATTGGGTGGTATGTGCACTCTGTTGATCAATTGCTACTCATCTTGTCCCAGTGAAAACATGTCCTTAGAACTTGTATCAGGAAAAATAATGCTCGTGATTAGCTATGGTTTATATGCATGTGTATCCAGACTTGGCAAAGATCAGCCAGGAAGTGAGAAACGTTGCTGGTTAAAAATGCTGTTGCCATTTTGTATATCCAGCCAGGATATTATTTTTCATGGAAAAGGTGGGCTTGGGGACATCTTGCTAACCAGGATGAACCAAGGTTGATGTTTTCTCCACAAAATGTCTTTTGACACAAACAGGGAATTATATTCAGCTAGCATAAGATCACCATGGACGTTGTACACAAGTATGAGGCCATCAGAGATCTTTAAATGGACAGTATTTCTCCACTTCCTAGTGTATCAAACCATGGTCAGCTGCCATAACTTCGAGATTTTACGTGGCTTTCCCAAGTACTGCCATTTACCTTGCCATGAGCCCAGATAACTTGCTTTTATTAAACAGCAATTTATTTTGGACTGAATCATCATTTGAAGACCACCCAGTCTTTCACGTGCCTTATGGATTTTTTGTAAGAACACTCAGCAGCCCCATGGAATTCTGATGAGGTGACTTTGATGCCTTCTTATGCATGTGAATATATGAATGCATTTTCTATAAATATTTGGGATGGTCCCAAAAGCTAATTATGAATTGCCATTCGGTTCTTCAGGACATTCTTTACACAATTCCACTTAATTTTATTCAGTTGTATATGAAAAGACAGGTAGAAGTTTAGAGCTAGGAATATACCAGCTGGCAATGTCAGCAATAGGTTTTGGTCAAATTTGTGGAAGTACCATAGCCTGCTCAGTAAGTCCATGGGAAAACCCATGTTTCTAGGTCAAGTGTAACCAGTCATCCTGAAAATGTTTTAACATGGCTTCTCACACGTCTCACAGAGATCTTGTTATTCCAAGCATCTGTCTACTTACTCCCAGTACAAACTAGATGAGTTTGTGTGTGTAAAGTAGGTTAAAGTTTTTTAAAAATAGCATCTCTACTCTCCCCCCAGATTTTCAGCACAAAAGCATGGAACTTACGTCTGCTTATAAGGAAGCTACATGCTTGGCAATGATCCTGTTGGCAATGTTACCACTACATGCCACGTCACAGGTTTTCCTTAACACACTTTGATTCTAATGGGAATGACACTGATCTGGAAATGTTTAGGCATATGAATGGCACCATTGACTTCAATAAGGATTAAGTGAATGAATGAAGACTGTAAGCTCAGGTCCTTATTTAGTTCCTAAATCTGGAAAACACCAAATACCCTAACCCTTCCATTGACTTAAAGATGGTATTCAGCCATTTACAAGATTAGATCCATGCAGAACTAAAATAGTGACCGAGGTAGGTTATTATGAACCAGCACTGCTGGTGCCACCACCGCTCTGGATGGATTCAGAACACACATCTAATGTATTTGTAACTACTTAAATAAAAGAGATTATAGATTACCGGTACTACCGTTCCCTAACCCAGTTAAACTTCTGTCCACTTATAATGTGCATACTATTATTATGAATAGTGATACAGTACTTTCTTGAAAAGAACAAGTTGCTTTGTTATTTTGTTCACACAGTGTTTGCCGCTAGACATCTTTAGCTTAGTACTCTTGTTTAGTACCTTACAATTAGATTCCTATGCATATTAATTCAGTTAGTTCCTTTACTTAGAAATAAATATTTACTTCTAGATTGCTAGTAAGGCTATGAGATTCACCAGCTTTCTAGTGAACAACATTACATGAAAGATGTAACGAAGAAGCTGCATAAGAGAAAGGTCAAGAAGAAAATCAAAACAATTAACAAACAAGCAATTAAATTTACTTTGTTATTTTCTCTATGGTGAAGAATTATTTGCTTGTAACAGTACATTTTCAAAATAATTGCTTTTATAGGTTTTTATCATTCTTGTTTTGAGTAAAACCTATACCTTGTAACACAAGCTACTGCTTCCTCATAGGGCAATGCATTTTTCTCCTCTTTCAAAGCCAACACTCAGCCAATACAAGAATTCTCAAAACTCTTTGCTGTTCAGAAATGTAAAAAGTCTGTATCTCTTCAAATTCATCTAAAACTTAAAAACTTCACAAAATCAAATTTCACCACTTTGTATTATTTTAAAAATACCCTCCACTTTTCAGAGCTTCAGAGTTCAGTCTCAATAAATGAATTATGCCACTGATCAGCTACAAAAACCTACACTGTAGTGAGAGAACACTACAGTTGCCACATTCTTTTTCTACTTTACAAATGTACATTTTTGTATTTATCTAACTCTAGAACACACTCCCGGGTACAGTGTTACAAATATCTTAAAAGCTCTCATTCAGCTAGCATCTTTTTATAAAGTTATTTTATGTTACATAAATATTTTTAAACCTACCTTTATCCTAAAATAGGACTCAAGGTGGCTTATTGTTTCAGTCAGTGAAATGGAAATCTGGGTATGACAAATAATGGTTTATTTGAAAGCAGCCCCCGCACCTGTCTGCTTTTTCAGCTGAGGCAAATCACAGCTCTGGAGTTCTCCAGAACACTCAGTTTGACCATGAAGGTAAACAATTTCCAGCAGCAAAATGGCACAGTGAGAAAACAATACTTCTCCTCTCTTTGAGGTCACAAATTTATATGGTTCCTTTTATGGCTAGACAGACACCACAAATTCCCAGCACAGCATCCCCATGTAACGTCTAGACTTAATGGGTGTTCATTGATAAGATTCAAAGCCAGTACCTTTAACCAACTGCATCCTAAAATATTATTCAACTTGATATTCTCTTTATTTGTCATTCTAAGAACAGTATGGATTAGATCCAGCCACTGATTTCTATAAACTCCCCTGCTTTGTTTTCTTTTTTGCAAGTAGCCACTTCTCTCTCCGTCTCTGTCTCGCTCACACAAAATATTTAGAAGCCAAACATAATTATTCCTTCAACGTATATGATTTCCTTAAACAAGGCATATGCTTTACCACTATGGCCTGATCACTGCATTTGTGAGACCAGAATAAGTACACATCTCGAATAAGTAAAGAAATCTGAAAATGATACATAGTGCAGAACCCATCGCCTCCATGCACTGCTCATTTATTTATTTTTTTCCATGCCGTCTGCCCTGGACAATATAACTAAATGGTAAAAAGAAAAAAAAAAGCAACTCACCTTTCCAAGTCCTATATAAAGTATCCCAATTTTATGGAGAAGGCTGAAGCAAAAATTGGCAGCTAAACAAAGAGAAGAGACTAGACATGTCTTGTTAAGTATTACTGGCCTGCTCTACTTCTTTTAATTTCTATTTTTGTCCCTTAAGCTCAGAATCTGATTAGTATATTTAATTCCAGGGGAGTATCAGAAAGGCCTCTTTAATCAGCCTACCGGTACTCACCTTCTTTTTCCTCCACGGGTTTTAACAGATGTTTAAAAACAAAATAAGAATCTCCCTTCCATGTACATTTCTTTTTAAAGCAACGTAGGGCAACAGTAAGCATATAGGTAAACAACATCTCAATCATAAAAGGCAGGTGGTGTATGTTTCTGATTTTAACTGCTTGTGTCCAAACCTTGTTCATTAGTGAACTGCAATAATAATAAAAAAGGAAAAAATATGAACAAGCAAAGAAGAAATGGAAAACAAAGAGGCTTACTAGCAAAAATAGAGAAATGGCTAGATTTTAGATTAACTTCCAAGCAGGTCTGCAAGAGTGTACTGAAAAGGCCTGATTTTCTAATGCCATGGCAAAAAAGAAAGCCAATATTCTGTGGGCCTATATACATGAAGCATTTGTTCATCCTCCCTTGCACCCGAGGTCCTATGCCCTACTGTCTACATAATGCAAGGCTGAAACTGATGTCAGCGGTCAAAGGGGGACAACCACACCTTGCTTTCTGGGTTGGTTTTTTTCCTGGCTCTGAGATGCTCCATTGTAGGATTTGCTCTAGTGGACCCCAGCACTACACTGATGCATGCTGGTCCCTGTACTTTGTGGATTTTTTCGCTTAACAATGTTTTGTTATGGAAATTTTTCTGCTGGTCAGTCTCAACTTTGCTATACCTTAGTGCTATTCCTTTTTATTCTTGGGATCTCAATTGTTCCTTTCCTCCTATCTTTTTTAATATTATCTCTTCTGTACTGCAGCATACAAGTGAAAACTAAAATAAAAATGCCAAAATAAAATAAAATTAGAAAACATTGGGTTTAAACCTGAAGGCTTGAGAAACGCGAAGGAGAGAATAGTCAAGCAGATGAGGGGGAAAAACAAAGCAGATGCCAGCTGTTACTGTGTTCTGAATTTTTTAATAACAAAAATTAAAAATAGAAAGCTTTGAGGCAAAATTGGAAAGATTTGAGAATGGTGAGAAGATAAAACAAGGAGGGAAGGGAAAAGAAGAGTAAAGTAGGTGAAGAGGTGATGGAGAAGAGGGGCCAAAGGAGAAAAAAGAGGTTACCTACCTGTAACTCTGGTTCTTCAAGTAGTCCTCTGTGAATTCACACTAATGTGGGGGTTAATCTGCGCCTGAGCAGAGCAGCCTTCGGAAACTTCCACAGCTTTAAGCACTTAGTGCTGGGACCTCCCCTACACCTGGCTATATAACACCCCTCAGCCCAGTGCTTCAGTTCCCCGCCGCTGCCCAATATACCATAGCACATGTGACAGACAGCGGGGAGGAGGGCAGGAAGTGTGACTTCACAGAGGACTACTCGAAGAACCAGAGTTGCAAGTAGGTAACCTCTTTTCTCCTTATTGTCCTCTGTGAATACACACTAATGGGTGACTAGCAAGCTGACCAACCAGGAAGAGGGATGTCATGAAAGAGCAGAAGCCAGGACAAATAGAGTGCAGGTAGAATGGGCCAGTCCCCGGCATAGCGTGCAGGTAGAATGGGCCAGTCCACGGCAAACAAGAGAAACAAGGAGTATGACCAGAGACATTGGCCTAGTAGGCCAATGTCGTCTTGATGCAAGGAGACAGAACGCCTACCCATGAAAGGAGTAGGTCAAGGTGGTAGAAGGTGTGCAAGCATGATGGAGCATGTCCATTACTGTTGGGGGGGACTCCAAGCCGACAGGTAGGGGAGCCTGAGCTCTGGATGAAACATCCGAACCCTGTCCCAAGACAGTAGGTGAGGGACCAGGTGCAGCGGGATGTATGCTGCAGGTCCCGGGAGCAGGATCGAGAACCATGGCTAGCGAGGCGACCAAGCACGACGGTCGCACCCTCATGCTGGAATTGAACAACAGGCCTTTGAAGAAGTGGGAAAGGGTGAAACCTGTAAAGGAGGCCTCGTGACGAACTGGTCAGGAAAGCAACCCCTAGGGAGGTGTGGCCAACACTGGCTTGGGAGCCGAACATGGCACACTATTTGTTTGTTCGAGATGCGAAAGTATCCATGTCCAGAGTCCCCCAACAACGACAGAGGCAATGAAAGATGGAACCGTCGAGGACCCGCTCGTGAGAGCAGGACTGCAGTCTGCGGAGAAGGATTGCCATGGAATTGTTCTTGCTTGCCAAACGTACAGCCACTGGATAAAATATGGGGAGCAAAACAGCATTCCAAAAGAAGACGCAGCTAGCAAGTGCCGCCCTGCTTGTCCATATAATAAGCTGTAGTGGTATAGCCCAATGTGGCCTGGACCACCTGACTGAGCAGGAATTCAGAGGCCCAAAGGGCCATGGTGAGCAGCAGGAGCTCCAACACAATGATATGCAGGCTGTCTACTATCATAGACCAGCGGTCGATGGAAACATGGTAGCATACACACGCCCCCCACAGCCTAGCGGGCTGGTATCTGCTACTGACCAAATTAAGTGGGTCAAGAGACCAAAGGGTCTCCCTAGTTGTAGGGTGTGTGTGGGGAGTGTCCACCAATCCAGTTGTGCAGCGAGTTCCGGAGCCACTTGGAGCAACATGGATTGGTGGTCGCAAGATATCTGAAAGAGAGAACCCAAGCTTAAAGGGACTGCATCCTGAGTCAAGCAAGCTGTCCCACAGCTGTAGTAGACGCCATCAGTCCCAGGAATCACTGGACCTGTAGGGCAGGGAACCAAGAGCCTGAAGAAAAAAGGAGCATAACAAATCATGCATTGTCACAAACTTGTTGTCAGGGGGAAAAGCTTGCATCAAGAAAGCACCCAAGTCACATAAATACAATTTACATAGTGTGTAAGGTGCAAAGTCAACTTCACTATGTTGACCTATAGTCCAAACACTGACAAAAGGGACAGTGTCAAGAACGTGTGCTTACCAGCCTGTGACTTGGACTCTGTGACCAGGAGCCAGTAATCCAAACATGGGTAAACAGTGGTTCCTCCAATTGAAACCCTGAGAAAGCGTTGACGGACCAACCAGATGCCTGCATGAAAATGAGCATCCTACAATAAACCAACCCCCTGGACGTAACTAGTAAATGACAGAGTCCAAGGAAGCCATACAGAAACTACGTAGAGTAAGGAAAGAATTCAGGCCTCTAGAATCAAGGATGGGCCTGTGACAGAGGGTACATCGAAGTTAGTGGCAAAGCTGGTAGCTACGATAGAAAGTACCAAGGAGTCAAGTGGAGTAACTGGTCACCAACAGAGAAGTAAAGAGACTGCTCAGTTTTGCAGTCCTGCCTGCAGTTCTGCCGGAGAGGGTTGAATGGGTTACCAGCAGGTCCGGCTGAAATCGCGAACACTTTGCTTCCGGAGTCAAGTTCGAGGGAGCAGTACACCTGTGAAGCGTATGCGGAGGCGCGAAGCACTACTTAGCCCATGGCTGGTCCTGCATGAATGAGCCAACATGATAGGAGCATCCTGAGGAAAAATATTCAGGCCCACCCAACAGCGGCAGGGTTCTTGTGTTGACACTTCTGAGTCCTTCTCCTACAAGCGTATACCAGCAGCTGAGGCTGCAGGCTACTCTGTGAACAAGCCCACTGATAAAAGAGGGCTGTTTTGTGCCAACTTATCAGCCACCAACAGGTGCTGCCCCAATAGGAATATCGCTGACTGGCAGGGTTAGCAGTGGGAATCGCTGCCCTCCCCCCTTTTCCAAAGGCAAAGCTAGGGCTGCCAAATGTTGCCAGAGAGCTTTCACACTTAACTGATTCCGGGAATAACAGCTGTGTGAACAAGCCCTTTGAGGGCCGTTTGGTGCCAAACCACCCGAGGGTGGTAGCCCAGTCAGGCAAATCACTGACAAGCAGGGCTAGCCGCGGGAGCTGAAGGGGCCCATTGTATGCCAAAAGGCAAAACCAAGGCTTACCGGAACATCTACAGCCTAGGTGTGCAGCACTATCGGGAATCTGGAGCCGCATGAATGCACCCATGAAGCAGGGCGGTTCTGTGCCAACCACACAGAGGCTTTACCCCATGTCAGGAGAATCAGTGACAGGCAGGGAAGGCGACTGGCGCTGGAGGAGGCCCTTTCTTCTCCAAGGGCAGGGCTGCAGATGCCAAACTCACTGCAGGTTAAACAGCTGTATGAACGAGCCCCTTGAAACAAGAGGGCTGTTCCGTGCCAACCTCCAAAGAGGCTGTACTCCACTGACAAGCGGGGAGCAGGAGTTACGGAGGCCCTTCTTCTTCCAAGGGCAATCCTAAGGCTGCAGAAGCCCAGCTCACTGCGAAACAGCTGTAAGAACGAGCCCTTTGAAGCAAGAGGGCTGTTCTATGCCAAACTCCGGAGAGGCTCTACCCTATGTCAGGAGAATCACTGACAGGCAGGGAAGGGACCGGTGCTACAGGAGGTCCTTTCTTCTCCAAGGGACAGGGTGACAGAGCCCTCACTGCAGGGTCACCAACTGTGTGAATGAGCCGCTTGAAACAAGAGGGCTGTTCCACGCCAACCTCCAAAGAGGCAGAGTCCCACTGACAAGCAGGGAAGATGGCTGGAGCTGCAGGGTGCCCTTTCTTTCTCATAGGACAAAGCTCAGAAGCTGTCCTCTTCTAACCTGCTAGGAAGAGGAAGATTGCAAACAGGCAGAAAGCTGTTGTTCTCAAGCCTGGGGGTAGCCTTATAAAGAAGGTAAAAGAGACCTTATTTCTTTAAGAGAAGAGCCCAGAGGGCTGCAAAGCTGGCTTTGTAAAACTTCTACAAAGAACAGCTAATGCCCATGCCCGCTAGTACTTTATCCTCCAGGCAAAAGAAACAACTTGTTACAAAAGAAAGAACAAGGGGAGGTCAAAGAAAATGAAAGGAAGGAATAAAATTGTTTTTACTTGCCAAGTTCCAAATGTAGCTGCTGCTACAGCTGCAGTCTCAGAGGGATGCAAAGCCGGCTTTGTAAAACCTCTACAAAGAACAGCTAATGGCCACTAGTACTTTATCCTCCAGGCAAAAGAAACAACTTGTTACAAAAGAAAGAACAAGGGGAGGTCAAAGAAAATGAAAGGAAGGAATAAAATTGTTTTTACTTGCCAAGTTCCAAATGTAGCTGCTGCTACAGCTGCAGTCAAACAAAGAACTGAGGCACTAGGCCTGGGCCGGAGTGATACAGCCAGGTGTAGGGGAGGTCCCAGCAGAAGGAATAGAATTTTTTCTACTTCCCAAGTTCCAAATGCAGCCGCTGCTACAGCTGCAGTCAAACAAAGAACTGAGGCACTGGGCCGGAGTGATATAGCCAGGTGTAGGGGAGGTCCCAGCACTAAGTGCTTAAAGCTGTGGAAGTTTCTGAAGACTGCTCTGCTCAGGCACAGATTAACCCCTGCATTAATGTGTATTCACAGAGGACACGAAGGAGAAGCACTTTTATGAGTGAATACTCTGGAGCTTCTACCTTTATTTAGATTAAAAAAAATACTTTATTTTTTAATATCTCAATAAAACCAGCATGACTTAACTCATTTCTCCTTATTAGCTTTTTATTTATCTGGGCTAGATATAGTTTTACTCTTGGCAAAATCACACACAAAGCAAACAAATGCATACACAGAACTTTACTTTCTTTAAAATTTTATTAGTGTTACTTATTTACTGGTTTCACATTCAATCTTTCTTTGAAAGATAGGACATGCAATAATTTTAAGAAAAAATGCAATTACAATACAAAACTAGATATTTATTCAAATAAAATTAAGCTAAACTTGCACCTTAACAATTAAAAAGACATTTAAGAACACATTTCTAAGAGAAATAGGTTACAGCAGAGGTCCCCAACCCCCAGTCCGCGGCCTGGTGCTGGTCTGTGGCCTGAGCCAGACCAGGCTGCAGAGACAGACCTCCTGCCCCCCGCACGCACTCACCCCTGCACAGCTGATTTGCGCATGTGCTCCAGTGCACCCATGCGGGAGCTGCACCACCGTTTGTGTGCAGGAGTGTGCCCGCACAAGCTCTGCGCTGCCATTCATGCATATGCATGCTCATTCGCGCATGTGCACAAGCGCGGGGGTGCCCTGCCTTCCTCAGCCAGTCCATGGGGTGAAAAAGGTTGGGGGCCCCTGGGTTAGAGCACTTGACCATGCAGGCAGGGGCTGGGAGGCTGAATCCTGAATCCTCAGTTTCTGCTGAAAAAGAAAGCATGTGGTTGATTGGATTAGGTGTCCTGCCACTCACACAACCATGGGGAAGTTGCATGGTCCCCGAGTGCAAGCAGAAGAGGGGGAATAATAAACCACCTCTGAGCACTTTGTACTTACAAAACTACAGGGGAGTCATGGTAACTCAGAATTAACGTGACGGCACATCATCATCAAGAGTCATACAGTACCCATCTGTTAACAAGCTTGTTCTCAGCAGCCTTTTAACTGCAGCAAGCCTTTTTGAATAAAATATCTTTATCTGTTTGCAAAACAACAGGAAAAAGACCAGACTATCTTTGCTTGGTAGGAAGTCTCAGGGCTTCAAAATGATCACTGAGAAAGCCCTCTTTTATGTCCTCATTATGTCTCTCTCAAGATGTAGAGGATGTTGTATGAGGTAATAAATGTCCTTCAACAAACTGAAATTACCAGGCTTTATAGGCTATAAGATAACTGTGTGCCATCAAGTCAATTTTGACCTGTGGTAACAGGCTTTATAGGCTATATAGGCTGGCTGGATAGCTCAGTGGCTTAGGTATCTGGCTGGGAAGCCAGGTGTTGGGAATTTGATTCCCCACTGAGCCCCCCAGGGAGAAAAGCCAGCCTGTGTAGCCAGGGCTAAACTGCACAGTACCAGGGTGCCCCTAGAACAGTAAACCATTCCTGAGTACTCTACTCCTAGAAAACCCTGAAAAGGGTCACTATAGGTCAGAATTGACTACAAGACATGCAATTATTATGGGCTGTAACCAACATATTGAACTCTGCCTGGTACCAGAAATAAATATCCAAGTTTTTCATAATAAGAGTGTCAGGTGTTCCTTGTAATCATCTGTAGCCAATAATCTGGTCACAGCATTTTAAATGAACTTAAATTTCCAGGCTTCTTTATAAAGGTAGCTCCATATATAGCACAATACAGGAAATAATTTTTAATTAAGGGATGTTTTCTCATGGTCAAAGCAGACTCCCTGAGAAGTGAGTGCAGTTGGTGTATTAGCTTTAGCTAGGTAAACATGCACCCGATAAAAGGTTTCTAACTCTTGCTCCTAAGGTTCTCTGCCTTTACTATCCAATCCTGAGAGAAATATATGAAACTGCAAATTTATTTCCATAATGGCAGTATGCATTGTATTCTTCCCAGCCCTGATCAAATAGATATAATTCTTACTCTTTTTGCTGCCTCAGCCAATGTTCCAGGATCTTATCTGTCTCTCACTACTGCAAACAAAAATCCCTGAGATGGTGCTATTTAATTAAGAGTTAACATTTTGTAAATTGTGACAAATTGGCTTAAGAAATATTTCTGCTCACTTTTCCAGAATCACTTCCTTCATCATTCTAGGCTTCTCCTTGTGGGAAGCATATGCAAATTCTTCCCCTTTTAATAGATCTACAGTCTTCCCCACTTTATAGTGTCAACGCTAGTTGATTCCTCAACAGTACTTAAATACTCTGATAATTTAGCCATCATTTGAGTTTTGAAAACCTCATCAATAATTTCAAAATATCAAAGACTGGGTGGTTTTACCAAGTCTGGAGACTAAAAGGTTAAAAAATATGGTTGTGATCAGAGATTATTACTACATCAATGGTACATGTCATAACCTTCTGAAAGAAGATAACAATGTATATAACTGTGGTGCACAGAGGACCTAATCTCACAGTTCGCAGCTTAAAATCAGATGGAAGCTGCAAAAGTTCATAGTTGGGGTTTGTTTTTTTTTGTTTTTTTGAGAAATATGGTAAGCCAGCCCTGCACTGTTTGCTTTCATAGCCCATGGACAACCTAGCTAGAGCAACCGAAAAAGATCTTGAGCTTGGAAATGTGGCCTGATAATGTGAAGCTAACATGGCAGGATCAGGAGCAGCCACTCAAATTGTCCAGACAGAGATATTTTCACCTTCATGTGCTGGGCTCATATACCGATCAAATCTACAGGTCCCTGACACTGTCGAATTGAGTCATTAATAGTGCTGCCATTACTAGAGAGTTGTTTCAGTGGTTTCGGCTGTTGTTCAAGTTGAACAAATGTTGTTTTCAATAAGGCAAACATATCTGCCATCAGCTCCGGCTGGAATACTGACTCGAGAAGAGGGTGTCCTTTTCTTCCTGTACAACTTTTGGTCTCAAAATTATGAGCCAGGTTATAAACAAGCTGAAGAATGAATAAGTAAGTGAAATACAACAAATTACTAAAGTATCAAGCAAAATATGTCCAAATTAAAATGTAGCTCACAGAAGAGAGCAACACAGAAATATTTCTGATCATGTAAGGAACTCTCACAAGGTAATTCAAAACCCTATTCAATTTGATCGAACTTTCCTCACAACCCCACTTTAAGGGATATAGAGCTAATCTTGCTTCTTCTATGAGAGATGTGCATGAGGAGCCCATGAAGCCACCCAATGGCATTTTTCCCATTCCAAAGCCATCCCTGAGCCCACAGACAAAGGCCAAGTGTTTCTCCTTTTGTGTTTTCAGGAAAAGGAGCTTTATGGTAGCTGTCGGGTCAGGTGACTCAATTCACCTCCAAAAAAATCCAAGCACTACCAATTTAGTTTCCCTCCCTTATTTTGGGGAGAACTACAGGGCATGGTGGCCCTGCAGGTTAAACTACAGAAGCCTCTGTGCTGCAAGGTCAGAAGACCTGCAGCCGTAAGATTGAATCCACGCGACGGAGTGAGCACCCGTCGCTTGTCCCAGCTCCCGCCAACCTAGCAGGTCGAAAGCATGCAAAATGCAAGTAGATAACTAGGCGCCACCATGGTGGGAAGGTAAACGGCATTCTGTGTCTAGTTGTGCTGGCCACGTGACCACAGAAGACTGTCTTTGGACAAACACTTGCTCTATGGGTTGTGTTGAGCATTGTCCCCTAGAGTCGGACACGACTGGACAGATTGTCAAGGGGAAACTTTACCTTTACCTTACAGTCCCTGTGGGGCTTTGTAGAGCCTGTGGCAGGATCAGAGAATGATAATTGGGCCCCTGGATCCATCCAAGTTATCCTTTCCTGCTCTAAAATATATGCAATATATTAAGCATATTGTGTTGAAAAGCATGTTAGGAAATGGTCGACACTTTCTACTTCACATGGGCCAAATCACTGCTGAGAAATACTACACACCTGTGACAAGTGCAGGGAAAAGGTTGCTGTCCTCAGCCATCTTTCTGTAAGCACAGCAACCTCAACATGATGTAACAGCATGTTATCTGAATACACTGTACTTTGAGTAATCACTTCAAAATGGCTTTTTCAGCAGCACAAGGCTTAGGGATGTTATCCGCAAGTACTATCTTCTGGTAAAATCCCAGAGAGGATACTTTGCTGATTACATACTGTCCTTCTCAATCTCAAATGCTACTCTCCTGTGAGAAAAACAGTCTTGAAATACAGGTATCCATGAACCAATTTTGAGGGCCTGTTGCAATACACAGGAGCAGCAGGCCCTCAAAATTGAGTTCCTTGTAATGCTTTTTTACACCACAGAAAAATTGATTTCCTCTGTGCTGGTCTTTGAGGAATGGCTGAATGACTTTAGATGGAACCATTTCAGCTATGGGATAAAGCCAAAAGCAACAGCCTGGAAAACTTAAAATCAGATAGTTGTAAATAAACAAAGCACTAATAAAATCAAGAGCAACCAGAAATGAAACAATCAAAAGAGACTGAAACTTGAAAAATTCTTAGTTCCCTTCCCCTGCCCCCCTTTCTTTCAGAAACTAAGCAGTAGGAGATTTTGGGAAACTTAAAGGAAAAAAAATCACATCTACAAATATGTTTTGTGGACTAATGGATTAAAACTACAACATTATGATCACACATAGTTTACTGAACCAAGTTTCATCCCGACATATGGACACCGGCAGATGTGATACAAGATAGGATGCATCCACTTGGATTTTAAAGATTGGCACTCATTCCGATCCAGTGCTTTATCAACTGGTGGGCAATGGCTTGATGTGGTGGTACAAGAAAAGCACTCTGGTTCCGCTTACTGACAATTTCAACAACCTGAAATATATAAAAATTGTATCCAGGTAATTGTATCCAGGTGAGTTAGTTCAGCAGGTTGAAGGATCTATTCAAAGCAATGGATTTTATGAAATTTATTTCCTAGTAGTTTTAGATGAGGTGCAAGAAGCTTAACTTTTACTTGTTTCACATGCACTTGAACTTTTTCTTAGGTAATGATATCATTTCATTAAAGTGATCCTATGTTTGGTGATCAACTTTCTCAATTCCATAACGAAAAAATATAGAACATAAAAGCACTATATCACCATCCCTTAAAATATCAGTACTGTACACTAATAGTGCTCCACAGCTGCTTGTTTTGGAACGGTGGTGATCATCTAATATTAATTTATTTATTTATTAGATTCCTATCCCGCCCTTTTAGACAAAGTCTACTCCGGGTGGCTTTAATTTAATCTGGGTGGGATAATTTATCTTTGCATATTAAACTTTATTTTTCCAAGAGATTAGACAGAGGGAAGGTGACCAACTGGTATTGTAAATAAACAAGTGTTGAAACTGTAATGATTGGGAGAAAACAGGGATAGGTATTTTTATTATATAACTTTCTTGATGTGCATGATTACCTCAACCAAAAGACCTTGCATACTTTTATATAAATGGAAGATGTTCTTACAAAGGAACATCCATCTGTCTTATTTTCTTTCTTGGCTAGAGCACAATACATACAGTAAGTTAGATCAGGCTGTTCATTTATGCCTACACAAAGCTATATGCTTTTGATGCCTGCCTTTGAAATATCAGTGCATCTTATTGGCAAAATCTGTGGATTTGATACAAGAGCAATTGTCTATACTCATTATGTTAGCAACATGGGGGCAGATCGTTTTATTATACAATGTCCAATTTCAATGTAATCACTGTACAATAAAAAAGAGTACAAGGACTCATTTGTCTGCCTGAAAAACCACATCCATATTGCATGCTCTAACCAATACCATCACAGGGCAATCAATAAAGAAAGGAAATTAAATTGAACTTTACCTGTTCTCTACTGAACCAGCGGGCATCTTCTAGTTCAATGTTGTCAACTTTAATTTCTGTAGACACTGCGGCTGCTATACACCCAATCATTAGAGAGGAGGGCATCGGCCACGGTTGACAAGAGACATACTGAACATGGCCCACTTTAACTCCACTTTCCTCATCTACTTCTCTTCGAACAGCATTTTCAATTGTCTCTCCTAATCAAAGAAAGAAAAGAAGAGATAACAAAGTGTGGTGCAATGATTATATCCTGCGCTTTAAAGCATCGTGAAATATCTGGAACTTTCTTGAACAGTCACCCACAGATACTTGCTGACTCGAGCACAAATGTGCAACGAATAAACTGAAGTACTATTTTCAACAAAAAAATGCATCTAGAAAAAAAAATCACATCATTATGTTAGTACTGCTTCGACGGAATGCAAATTGACCACACAACCTCACAGTGTCTTCTGCAACTGTATTTTAAATATAGGGGAAATAAAGTGTCAAACACTACAGTATTTCCATTTTGACTATTAAAACACAATATCCCCACTTTCAATATGGGTAGTTAATTCAAGAGTGCAACTATACATTACAGTCAATCCTCACCATTACAAGAAGGAATGTCCATCAATAAAAAGGGAAATTATCTATTTAAGTGCTGTTGTTGTTTAGTCGTTTAGTCATGTCCGACTCTTCGTGACCCTATGGGCCAGAGAACGCCAGGCCCTCCTGTCTTCCACTGCCTCCCGGAGTTTGGTCAGATTCATGTTCGTAGCTTCAATGACACTGTCCAACCATCTCAGACCCTTGAGGTGCCTAAATCACAGCTCTTGAACACTGAAATATTTTCAGCTTTAACAGTAGGTTACCTCTAACATATAGTTAGCTGGTCCTCAATACCCAGGTGAAACACAGGAATGGAGAGCTCACAGCTCTCAGGTGGACAATAAAGAAAGAAGAAGCACTTCTCCACCAGATGGGCCCAGTCAGGATCCAACTGAACAAAAATTAGATGCTCTTAACTCCAGAAACATATCATTTGGGGGCATTCTACCAGCTGCTGTCATCAGGAAAATCAAATATGGTAGCTTCCACTGGCCCAGACAGAGCATCTCATGATGTACTGCCCATTATCAGCAGAGAGTTAACAAGGTGTGATCCTCCTCTCTTCAGCAGCCACCCACAGGTGGTTAGGTCTGTACTCTAAAACATCTTTTACAACACGATTCAGAAGCTGCTGTAGAATTATTCTTAATATACCCTTCAACAATTAATACTTTGAAAATGGTTTAAGAGATCTCATCTTGCAGAAAGATGTGCCAAAAGTATGCAAATGTATATAGAAATAGGATTTTTATGCTGATCTTAACTAGAGGCTGCAGTGTACTTTCACTTACTTCTTTGACTTAATAGATCCCAAGCCTTCATTTTAATTATCTTAGCATCCACCACTTTCCATGAGCTTGATGCTTAAACCACAGTGACAGCATCAGTTGCAATAAAATAAATAGCAGATCCACTGATCTGAATTATATTAAGTCTCATGGATGTCAAATTATCATTACAAATTGTAATAATAGTTTATATTGTAGTCCACAGTATAATGGCACTTCCTGAATATGACATCTCATGGCAGCAGGATTATACTGCAGGCCTACACAACAACATTACTGTCATGCCCTAGTATTCTGACTGACAGCAGTGGAACAGCAGCCTGATGAATTGTTCCATTTCTGTCTCTCTGACCAGTCTAGAGAACCTGGATGCATAGGAAATTATCAAGCATGCCAAGCTATGTATGCATATCATCTATCCATATAGTGCTGCTCACCCAAATTACAACAAACAAAAGTGGTAAGTAATATCCATGTGAAATCAAAGTCAGGAGTTAGGAGCAGTACTCAAAGCTGTGGAGACCAAGAAAATCCTCACCTTGCAATGAAATTACAGAAAATCAAATGGACACAGCAAGATGGGTATACAGAAACCACCTATAGTAAGAAATACCCCCCAAAACTTTCTTGGGCTCCATGATCGCTGCAGATGGCGACAGCAGCCACGAAATTAAAAGACGCCTGCTTCCTGGGAAGAAAGCGGTAACAAACCTCAATAGCATCTTAAAAAGCAGAGACATTACCTTGCCAACAAAAGTCCAAATAGTCAAAGCTATGGTTTTCCCTGTAGTGATGTATGGAAGGGAGAGCTGGACCATAAAGAAAGCTGACCGCCGAAGAATTGATGCTTTTGAATTGTGGTGTTGGAGGAGGCTCTTGAGAGTCCCCTGGACTGCAAGGAGAACAAACCTATCCATTCTAAAGGAAATCAGCCCTGAGTGCTCACTGGAAGGACAGATCCTGAAGCTGAGGCTCCAATACTTTAGCCATCTCATGAGAAGAGAAGACTCCCTGGAAAAGATGCTGATGTTGGGAAAGTGTGAAGGCAGGAGAAGGGGACGACAGAGGATGAGATGGTTGGACAGTTTCACTGAAGCGACCAACATGAATTTAACCCAACTCTGGGAGGCAGTGGAAGACAGGAAGGCCTGGCGTGCTCTGGTTCATGGGGTCATGAAGAGTCGGACACGACTAAATTACTAAACAACAACAACCCCCCAAAAGCAACATCAGTGGTAGTCACCAGCCCCTGAGGACACTCAAATACACAATCAACAATCCATAGCCCATTCTGGACAATACTTCTCTCCTCAGGGCTCTGGGTGGCTGGCCTATACTTGCTTATGGACAGCCCTGCTTCCCCAGTTGTTAACAAACGTCATCTAACACAGGGACAAAGACAGGAACAAGACCCTGCTTTAAACCCATATGCCAACTGTGTCCCCACATCCACTCTGGTAACTTTATGATGGGCCCAAGAACAGGGTTATATTTGCCAGCAGTGCCCTTCTGTATTCTACTTTGGGCATTCTAGGTAGGGCAAACAGGACAATCTCCATGCAAAGAATAAATGGGCACAAAAATAACACCAGAAATAGCAACACACACACGTTTCAGGAGACTTCAATCTCCCAGGACACTCTGCCACAGAACACAAAGTAACTATTGTGGAGGAAAGGAATCCCAGAGGAAGGTTTGAAAGAGAGTGAGTTGAAGAAGGCTATATTCACAGACTCCAGGGTACATAAAAGGGACTCAATAAGAACTGAAGCGTCTTTGCCCACTGCACAGCGTAAAACCCATCAGGCTAAAATTCCAAGAGGACTGAACTGGAAAGCCCTACTTTCTAAGGCATCATACTAACCAGGGAATATAGTCACATCAAGATCATGGCATTTATTAGAGAGCAGAATTAAAATTCTGAAAGAATACTTAGTTCTAATGTAGGCCTTATCTGCACTAAAGGAGCCTTTCCATTCAGCCAAAGAGCAGTAATAGGTTGAAAGGCTTTCACATTTTCAATGACTCCCTCTTGAGGAGAATTTTGGGGTGGGTAAAGGGATGTTGATGGAAGGAGAATCAGCAATAATCCACTGCTTTCTGTCCATACTTTCCCACTCACAGATCTTAAGACTGGAACCACATCTAAACACAAAATGAAGATACGATTGAAATAAACCCAGGGTGGTCCCACTGTTTGAACAGGTGGGATAGCACCCACCGAACTCCTCCAAACAGAGGTGGTTGATCAATTTATAAGACGCACGTAGACCATATAGAGGAGAAAACTGGATAGCAAACCAGATGTTTTCGGATCTGGCAACTCTGCCCTCTGCTCCATAAACTCCAGCGAGTTTTTGTCACCACTGAATAAGCCCAGATATTATATACTATGTAGTAATATAGTCTGCCACAAGTCACACAAAGTTCAAATTTTCAAAAAGTGTTACTTAAACAATTAAGAGAGACTAAGTAAATTTATATTTAATATTCTCTGGGATGGTTAAAGGCAGTGACACAATACACCCACAAAGAACACTCACCAGGTTCTACAAATCCAGCAAGACAACTATACATGTGTGGAGGAAAGGTTTTCTTTCTTCCCAGAAGGCAGTGGTTACCATCTGGATGAATAACTTGCATTATCACTACAGGATCTGGAAATACAGGTAAAAGGTACTCATATTTAAGAATTTCAAAAGGCAGCAAAAAGTGAATAGATGTAACCATTCTCACTTAGCATTCACACCTCCTTTAAAAGCTTGAAATCCAATTTTCTGGCTGCCCCGAAGCTAGTAATCTTATTGCAGGTTCCTTAAAAAATACATATTCACCTGTTTTTGTAACACAGACGCCTTTGAAGGCATAGTCTTACCCAGACCAAAAATGAAAACTCAGGAGATAAATTACATGGAACTACAAAATGCTTTTGGAATAAGTGACCTACTTACACATCCGAAAGAATCAGCAAGAATTTTTGCCTTTAGTTTCTTCCACTCACAGATTAATGGGCCAGTGGAATATATTTCCAAATATTGGGCAGAGTCTGAGGCACAGGAAGATTCAGATTTCCTTCATACCTGTATTATTACAACCTCATTTCTAGGTTCAGTCTGTCTATTTTGCCTTTCTATAAGATTTCCTGGCTTTTCCCTTTTCTTAATGAGGTTTCCTTAATTTTTGGATCAGAATGATCTTCCCACTCAATTGTCTCACTACATAAACTGAGTATAATTAAAATTATTTGGCAGACCCAGCCTTGCTAAGGCATCTTACATATTTAAATAACAGTATGCCACCCTGGCTTAGGCAAGCCAAAGTTTGCTGGGGTTAGATTAAATGGCAAACTATGATCAGCCAAGGTTCTAACTTCAATGCAAATGACAACCCCAGTCTGGTGCTTGTCTGGATGGCTGTACTGACTTAATCTATAATTCATGGAGAACATTATTTATGAATTTGTGTTTGGAGTCCTCCTCAATGACATTCTGTTGCTAATCATTTCAGCAGACCTTTGGCATATCTAACATTTGATTTTATCTGGCTCCCTTCCTGCTCTATCTGGTGGTTTCATTTATACTTGGTATACTCTGTAATTATTTTGTGATTGCCAGTTTGTGATTTTAGCACTCTTGAGTGGCTCAATTCTGAATTCTGAAAAAAGGCAGACTGCTAGTGATCTCTGAATAATAAATTTTAAAAAGTGCAGATGTGAGACAGATAGAGTGCCCTTTTTTCTGTGTTTCTGCTGAATGAACAGATAGCTGCCTGTTGCACTTTTCAGAAAGTAGACAGGTTTAAATGTAGATATAGCAACCCCATTCCTTCATGTTTTGATTTTCAACCCTCTAGCTTTAGTCTCCCCTTTCTGTTGGCTTCTTATCTTATACTGTTTCTTTACTGTCAAGATGACGGATGCAACAAACCCATTAGGTAAATATGTTTCAAAGACTGATGACCTCTGGAAGATGTGTCTGCCCTAAGGCATCCAGCAGGAGTTTCAAATCCTGCTGACTGCTGGTTTCGTTAAAGAAATGCCAGTAGAAACACCAACTGTTGGCTCAGCTGTCTTCTAATATCTCATCTTGCTCACAATTCTTTCCTTCATTTGGGCTTCTAAAGATTTAACTACCACTATTTATTAACGTCAACTACCTCCTCTGTGAAATTTAAAGAACTAGTAGTTCAAGCCGAAGTCTGGAAGACAAAATAAAAATTATAGATCGAACCCCAAGGGGAAAGAAATGCTTACAACATGGGAGTAAAAAGAAGAAAGTAACAAGACAGTAGAGCAGCACAAGGGCAAGCATAGCCATAGGATGTGGAACTGTAAAGCAATGCAGAATTATAAAGACAGAGAAATAGAAGATCAGGTGAGGGGACTACAGGGAAATACACAAGGAAGCAGATAAGACAAGGTACATCTGATGGAACAACTATTTGCTGATATTATTTGTATTTGTGTGGCATTCCACCTTCTATGCTATTATTGTGGGCTGGCTTTTTTTTAAAAAAAAATCTGTGTAATAACAGCATAGCCACAATATTCATCTTGCGAGCAAATCTTGGCTCAAAAAAACAAACAAACTGTGCCCTTAGCCAAAGACACTCCTATCTGGGATGGTTGTCCTACCAAGTGTGCAGCTTCAAGAGGGATAAACATGGAGCAGTGAGGGAGAAAGAGGACCCCAGTCTTGCTAGACAGATGAACCTAATCAACCCTATCAAATAATGTGAAGACAGCTGTCAAAACCAGGTTGCTGTCACATCTCAAATAGAATGCACATTAGCAAACATAGGCCGTTTGCGCCTGCATTGCTTCTGCCGGTGGTGCAACTGGTAGACAAACCAGACATTGTTTGACTCATGTGGTATCAGGTATCCTGGTCTGTTGTTTCTATACAAGGCAGGATTATTAGCTGGTAACAAATTCTAGCTCCTGGCTTGTGATGCTAGCTTGCTTGGGAGCAGCAAGCAAACATGCAAGCAACTGTTGGTACATATTCTTGTTTTTGGCAGAAGGAGGAAGAAACAGGTTGTGTAATTAGCATGCAGTTCATTCATGTCAACACTTACAGCTCTCCTGGTTCACCATTACACATGAACACAGCTAATAAAGTGGAGAAGAGAGAAATTGGCTTGAATTTTAACCACATCAAACAGTTTACACAGCGTTTGCCAATGTTTACTCAAAATATATACCGCCTGTGTCGTGGCTGCAATTGTATGCCAAACACCTTTTACTATGCTGAAACCTAAAAACAGAAACCAAGTCTTCTCAGGTGATCACATGAAGAATTCCCTCTCCCTTACACAGGTGGACATTTTGCTATCTCCAATCCATAAACATTAGACTACAACATAACAATGCAGAAACAGTGAAAAAGATTTCAGAATACACCCTGCAAATAGATAAAGCTACAATTTTGTCCATTTTTGCTCTTCATGAGGACATGGCGACTTCTTTGCAACTCTCTTACCAACTCTTGGGTAGCACGTATTGTGTATTCCCTGGTGGCTGAGACAATCTTCTTTTAAGCATGATTTCTTGTAGCCTCCATCTTCCAATTTAGTTGCACTGCCACATGTTGGACAGAACTGATACCGGCTATCCCAGGCTAAAACAGATCTAGCCTGTGCTATAACTCCTGAAAAACAATCAGAACAAATCATCTGCTTATAAGAGTTTTTTTTCCTGCATGAGACATTAAAATCAAACTTCCAATTTATTGCAAAAGTCAACATAATCAACAGTCTTACGAATTTTTATAATTATTTATAAAATCTATAAAATCACAACTTCCAGCTAGTAAGCAATGGAGCAATGTACTGTAAAACTAAACACTAGCTGAACAAATAAAATTACACAATAAAATGCAGAAGTAGCACTGAAATTATATATGGCCATACATTAGGCATTATAAATATGACAGGAGAATCTTGCAGAAAAAAAAGCCAATTTTGCCTTCCTCAGCAGGGAGATCCACAATCAAGGTGCTACCACCAAAAAGGCCTTATCTCAGATAACCAGGGAACTGACCTCTCTACATGGCAGGGCTTTCAATGATGAGCGTAAGCTAGAGGCAGGTATATATTCAAACAGATATCCTTTCCCCCAAAGGATTCAGCACTCTGCATTGCAAAACCAGCAATTGTGCCTGGAAACAAACTGGAAGTTGGTAACATGGTTCTAATTCAATTGATCTTCTTCAAATAAGAGTCCTCATCAGGGTGGATTAAAAGCAATAATTTTTTAAAAAAAATAAAAAATATCAATTTTTAAAAATTTAAATAGGATTTTAAAAATTGAAGTCATATTTTTTATTTGAATCAAATTTATTTTAATGAAACGCTTTTGGAGGAAAAATCTACCCAAAGATACTTTTCTGTTTAGGATACATTACGGGTTCAAAGATTATTCAGCATGAACTAGAGCTTAGTCAAATAGCATGAGGTTGTATATTCATGCAATATTTACATTAGTGGTGCCTCGCTTAGCGATTGCTTCGTTTAACGAAGAATTCACATTTACATTCTTGGTAAACGAATTCATTTAATCCAAGTTATACAAGCTGAGATAACATGCACTTTTTATAGTAAAAATGGTAAAGAATAAACTAAGTTCGGGAAAAGACCTTACTTCCATTGTTGTTCTGCAAATCTATGTACAAACAATGAACATATTATTTTAAATGCTAGGCTTGAAGTTTGAGTGAAATACATCTGTACCAGGCTCTAAGTATGAGGACGGAGGGGCAAGCAGGAAAATGAAAGTGCAGCTTACAAACCTTGGGCTCTCTGTGCGCATAGCTTGACGTTTTCTTGAAAGATACTTTGCTTAACCACTTCAGTTAACAAACATTGATGTTTAAGAAAATACAAGAATATGTAAGCTATTGTATATAATATTATTTAAATAACCAATTTAGATAGTTCTCCAAATATGAGTAAACCTTTTAAGCTAAAATCAGTTCTGATATAGCCGTTTTACTGATATGGCAGGCTATTATTCTAAATATGAAATCTTCATCTGGTTGCAAATATTAAAGATAAATACCAGCAAGAATGAGTCTTTACATTTAAAAATTATGATTTAAATCAAGTCTTACCGACTACTGATTTAAATGGACCTGATTTAAATCAAATCCACCCTGGTCCTGATCAAGGTTCCCTGTAAAGTGCATGACTACATGAGTGTGCACGACTCTGCTCCCCTTTGCACAGGGCTCCTCCTCATTCCCACACCCACAGCAATCGTTTACAGCCCCTTTGATTCCAGTCTCGATGGAACCCTACATGGGGGCGGAGTCATGAATGTGGGGGAGGAGCTGCAAATGAGAGGGAATATTGGTCCTGATCAAACTGTAGCTCCTGCACTTTGCACTAGCTTCAGCTTCCTAGTATTTTTCGAAGGATAGCCCTACATAAGAGTGCTTTACAACTAACTAAATAATGAGGTGATTAAAGCATGGCTGGTTCGTCCTTCCCCAATAGTGCAGCATGTATAATGAGGGAAGACTGGCAATTGTCACCATCACCTTTGCTTTATATGAGGAATGATGAATCCAAGAGTACTGTCATGATGCTTTTTTTCAGATGGGAGTTGAAGTGAAAACGTGAAGTTATAAGACTATCACCTCTTCCAGGATCTCGCTCCAAAATAGCAGATTATACACTAGTAGGTAGTTATGCAGCATGGCGGAAGCCAGTGCCAACAATTTTTTGAGACTTGCTAAGACCGTCTTGATTAGTTGACCAGAACATGTTCCTCTTCTTCTTTCTAGAAGCATGAACAGCTTTCACCAACCATTTGGGCAGCTCTCTCCTTGCAACTTTTACAAGCCACAATGGATACAGACCATAAGAGCATCTACTCGGTCTCATTAATGTCATACTACTAAAGCACTCATTCACATACTGCTCAGTGAAGACCTGTTACTTTTGAAGACTTTACAAATGGAAAAGAAATACAATATGAAATGTAGTGTGGGCCGAGAGATCCCAGAACTCAACAATGTTATATCAGAAGCATATTAAAAACTCTTGAAAGTATTCTAAAGATACAGGAGCTTAAGGTTTACAAGAGCAGATCTGTTCGACAAAAGTGATGTGAATCAGACCTAATATTCTATACTACGGAGAGAAAATAAATAAATAAAAGCAGAAAACCCTGGCCAGCACAGCTAATGGCGAAGGCTTTGGGGAACTTTAGTGCAATAACATCTGGGGACCCAAGGTTGGGAACCACTGCTATAAACTAATGGTCACAACAAAAGGAAAGGCAAACAAGAAAGGCATGAAAAGCTATATTCACACAGAATATTCTCCGTAAGTACTTTGTGAGTTTTTTGTCCATACAGCAAATCAGAAAAGAATGAGATCTAAACTTCATTCAGATCAGTACGAGTTTTTGTGGGGTTTTGCAGCATAGTGATACTTTTTTACCTTAATCTAAGCATTTTCAACAGAACAAATGAAGGTCATATGCTTGTTACATGTGACTATGGCAACACATGGTATAAACTCAATGCAAAAAAGTCCTCCCCAGAACTACTATACCATGAGAGCTGAAAAAAGAATTTTACTTTACTGTTTTGGTCCCAACATTAGAACAGAAAGAGGCAGAACGTACCGGCTTCATATTCAAATAACTGAAGCAGAGAAGGCATTGGTGGATGAAGAAAATAACAGCCTGGATGCTCCTGTAGAAATCTGTCAGCAGTAGCAGCATCCATCTTGAGAGCAAACCAAGCCACTAACTTATCATCTTCACTTTCATTTGAATCTTGTCCATGCACGGTTGGAAGCAAGCTGTTTTTCCTCTGAAGTTCTACTCCAAGAAAAACTAATGTGATGGCTCCAGATGGTTTCAGATATTCCTTTACATCTTTGTAGCAAAGCCGACAAAGTTTAGTTTTTGGAAAGCGAAAACTGTCCTCACTGTCATCATCGGATGTGACCAATGGGCTTAAATTTGAAAAAATGATGTAAACAGTGGTTGGCTGCTTCTGTTTCATGTTTAGCCATTCAGAATCTACCCTCTTTTCACTCTTTCTATCCAGTAATGTCCTAGAAAAATAGTTTTCATGCTCTCTGACTTCACTGGTCAGGAGAAATGGCTGCAGGCCATCCTTTACATCAGACAATAAGTTAGCTATGTTCTTGTAACCCCAAAATCGAGCAATGTCCAAGGCAGTCTGGTTTGATGCATTAGTTATGAACTTATCACACCTTTTAAAAAGTAAATTTCAAAGAATTAATATACATTAGCAAGAGCCACATTTTTAAACAGAGTCTAGATTATCAGTTTCATTCAATTGATCATGTGCCATAAAGTCACTATTACCACATACTGGGAGAAGTGATGATGCCAAATGTTGGCAGGCTACATAAAGCGCAGTATGGCAGCCTGCTACTTTTTTTTAAACTACTATACGTAACAAGATGTGTTTCTGAGTACTACAACACTAAAATAGTAATATAGTAGTGCAATCTACAGATGGAAAATTAACAATACTGAGCATATAAATCTTAAGATATACACACAATTATTTTAAAAGACATAGTTTGGTACTCAACTAACATGATACACCCAGCCCAGATATGAAGGAATATATAACAAATATTTAAATATGCACAATAAGAGTTAGTAATCAACATAATGGCTGAAATCCTGTTGTTGTAATTTAAGCCTCGCCAGAATTATCACAGTATCCTGACTTAAGCTTACCAGCATGTATTAATTATCTCGAGTCTAGATTATCAGTTACATTTAAAAAAAATTACAAGTTGTTTGAAGCCATCTATTCTTTCCCTGCATTCATCAATGAAAGTATCTGTATACTTTTGATTGAAATAAAAGAGCTTGAACTGCAGAAAGAGTTGATTTCATTTACATTTAGATTCCAAATGTAATTTTAGTCCTGAAGTTAAAAAGTCTAAATAGCTCGATCAGGATACAGATTCTGCTGTAACTTCCACTGCAGTCTGACCATAGTAAGCCCATTTAAATAATTAGTTTCCTAAGTTTTTCTTACCCCCTTTCAAGAAGAGCCCGCACAATTTCAAAGTGTCCATTTCTAGCAGCATACATTAGTGCCGTCCAACCATTCTTTGCCGTTTCATTGATAAGTGATGGAGAATGGCTGAGCAGAGCCACAAGCCTGGTTTGGTCTCCAACTGCAGCAAAATTGTGAAGCTCAGAAATCAACTGTTGTTTTGGATTTTCTTGGATATTTGCCATTATCTCTTTGGTGAAAAATGTAACAAAAATATAACATTATGATATTGTGCATGATTCTGGTTTCACATCATACTGCAATATTACACATGAAAGACACCATAACTATCCTTCAAGTAATTCAGCAAAATAGTGTGTCTGGAGAAAGGCATTCAGGGTTGTTTGCCAGAGAGGAAACTTTACAGTATGCTTGACTCATAGTGACCACACAGAAATTTCTGCTAATTATTAGTAGCACAAAATGGTAGTTGTAACATAATTACTATGGGTCAAACTAGACATAATAATTAAAAACAGGGGGCCAGAATCCCATAAGTTAGTTTGCTGGCATAAATTCAATGGCATAAACTACAGCAGCTGATTGTATGCCAACTGGTGCATGACAAGGTGGTACATACAAGCAGTAACTCATTAATTAGCAGCCATTTGCGGTTGTAATTTACACCACTGTACTTATCAAATCATCACCAGAATTCTAGCTAGTGCTTGAATTGCTGTAGCGGTGATAGTAGTAGTGGCTTTAATTGTTGGGGTGGAGAATCCAATCAACAGCCATCGGGGTGGCTGATCTGAAACTTGTACTCCTGCCTTGTGTTTGCAGCTTCCATTTTGGAATTCACTTTTAAGAAACAGATTGGACGTGGATATCTGCCATGACTTTCAGAACTTTCATGTTTTTTTAATGCATCATCCATAATGCAACAGTGCCCAGCCTGATGAACATTTGTATTGATAACAGTTTTTAATAATGATTTTAGTGCCCTTTAAAAAAAGAGCTTTCTTCTGGACCATGTACCTACACTTGTCTGGAATCTACTGCCATTCCTCTGGACATCATTTCCCATGAAGTTTCACTCAACATTCTCTGCCTCAAAGGGAAGCTGAACATCATGGAGGCATTAGAATGTTCTTTTGATATGCTTAAGGCATTCCATGTTCTGGTATTCACAAATACTAGGTCCTCTTTTTCTCATTTAGAATGCTTCTAACTCTCAGCACAATTAAAGGACTACAAAGTCTACAACCTAATGGTCAGTTTCCTGGGAGAAAGTATGGGAGACCTTAGTTTCAAGTAAAAGTGCACAAAACTGTGCTAATTGGCACATTCTAATGTTTGAAAACACTTTTTCTTTTTTTTAAAAAAACATAATTTTAGAAAGAAACCCTTTATTAAAACCAATATCGAGAATATTGGCTCACACATACACTTTGTTTAAAAAGGTAATTACAGTATTTGATCTTGGGTACTGCCCATGGTATTAAAAGTGAGAATTATTGGAAATGAATTCCAGTGACAATTATTCACATTTCAAGAAAACACAAAGAAAGAGGAAAAAATTTATGTGCCAATAGGCTTTAATTACAGTACCTTGTCAGAGACAAAAAGAGAGACAGAAAGCAAATAAGCGCGACACCAATATTACAAAGGTCAATGTAGGACTAATGGGATGGAATGCCGATAGTAAGCAAAAGGTGGAAAACCACTGAGCTATTAAGGTTAAATTCTATATATTACTCACTTACCTGTGTGTTAACCCATCAGACTCAATGAGAACTACTGCCCTACCAGATAACAACTGATAAACAACCTGCTGTTCTTGTTTTCCTCTTACCTACTAGCAACTTACCTACTAGCATTTCAATTCCCCTGTTTATCAGCATTTTATTTGTAACTTACTGATAATTTGCTCTGGGTGTCAGCTACATAGGGGCTGTCAGGGAAACTTATTTGCATTGTGATAAATCAATGAATGTCTGCTACTTTCAAATCCCACATTTTAAAAGCTTCATAAGGAATGAGCACCACAGATTGAGTGATGATGTATCAGGCCTGGTAAAACACTTAGGCAAACACGTGTGCATGTGCATGCACATATGGACATAAATTTGTGTGCATACACACACCTTTATATCTACATACATATAGGCACACACCCCATATACATACATCCTAATATGTCTGTGTGTCTATCTGGCACTGTGTACGTTCAGGGGCACATCCAGTATAAAGCCGGATGTTTTCCACAGCCACGTTTCACATCCACAAACAGCACAGCGGACGAGATGTCCGTTCACACCCTTGTCCTAAGCATGTTCATTCAGAAGTAAGTCCCAATGATCTTAGGGGATTTCCTTTCCGCTAAGCGTGCTTAAAGGCTGCAACCCCGCAGGTCATGCCCGGAAAGGCTTTGAAATCCGTGCTCTGGGCACTTAGTAATGCCTGATCCGAGGGCGAGGAACCACCGCCTCTTCATCATCCTCTCTGCCGAGCGCCACCACCTTCTCGGCCCCGGGCTCTTCCCACGCAGCCTAAATGCTAACGGTTCTTTCTCTTTGAGAGAAACCTACAACGAGATTTTCCTCCGAGATAAAGGGCAGCCGTGTGTGGGCGATACGAAACAACACACAAATTGCAAAAGCAGGCGGTACCTTTTACAACGGCCTGTAAAACGGTATGGCCTATTTTTGCCTTTGTATCTTTAAGATCCCCCCTAGGTAGGGTTCCCTTGGACGTTTTCTTTATGATCGGTGACAGGGGCCGGGATCCCCTTTTCGCTCCTCTTCCTGCAGTTCTCTACGGGGTCCGTCACTTTTGCACGGCCCCTCCTGATGAGAAAACTCGGGAAATTCCGCGAACAAAGTCCAGAGCAACTGGCTCTGGAAAGGGGGGAGAGAAAGATGAGTCGGATTCCAACACGAAAACGGGAGGAGCCCGGCCAAGGCGAGCCTCAGAAAACCGCCGCCAAGCAGGGGAGGCCGCCGCCCGGCCGACCTCGGAGAAACCCACCTCCGCAGCCCGTTCCCTTTGGTCCCTGGAGGCCTCTCGCCTCCGTGACCCATGACCTGAACTTGCCCCGGCACACTTCCTTCCTGATTGACCTCGGCGTCCCCAGCGTCGGCGCGGCGGAACAGCATCTTGGGAATTGTAGTTCTTTTTCTGGGATTGGCCGCGCCTTCCGGGAGAGCCGCCATTTCGGTCGCGAAGCCGGGCGCTTGTAAACATTGCGGTCGTACAATCATATGTAAGGGTTGTTCCAAAGAGAGCTTCCTATGTGTTATTTATTTCTTTAAAACATTTTTTACCCCGCCTTTCTCCTTGAAAAGGACCCAAAGTGCGGCTTACATCATTGAAAGGCAATGTTTAAAGTTGAAAAAAATAAGTAGACAACAGTGGTTCGCATCAGTAAAAGACAATATTTAAAGATAAGAAAAATAAGGACAGAAAAGTTTTTTTTTTTTAAAGTGCTACTCTGAGAAATGGAAAATACAATTAATATTGTTCTGCGAAGGGCTTTAAAGACACTTGAGCTCTGTTTTAAATGCGTTTTAAGGTTGAGCTTAGGTCACAAAGAGTCGGAAACGACTAAACGATTTGAGCTCTGTTGTTTTAAATGCGTTTTAAGGTTGAGGTTAGGTCACAAAGAGTCGGAACCGACTAAACGACGACGACCATTGTAATATATTACATGTTTAATTCTTTCAAAATATTTCTGTACTTCCTGTTTTAGCTTTTAAATGTTTTAGTGATGCGAGCCACATTGGGTCCCCTGTCTTAGCTTTTAAATGTTGTTTTAGTGATGCGAGCCACATTGGGTCCTTTTGGGGCGAAAGGTGGCAATGGAATATTTTAAATAAACAAATAAATAATACATAAATCCAGTCAAAGCAGAAATGTGTAAGGCTGCATCTAAAAATCACACCTGGGTAGCTGGTTACTGAGGGAAGGTTGTCATGGGACGGCTGCACACCTGCCTGAGTGCGCCTCAGGAATGGCAGTGGGACTTCCTGCAAAGTAAATGTGCACCGGATCATGCTGTCTGCTGCTTTTAAAGCAAGGAGAAAATCTGAAGCTACCCTGAAAATAAGTCCCACTGAAGTCCTAAGAGCCCAGAGTGAAAGCAAAGAAGAGGCTCATGGCACCTTTTTAAAAAGTATATGTTGTTACAGACCGACCCAAACCCATGGTACCTTGAAGACTAAGTGTTATGTGAGCTTTCATGGACAAGTCCACTTTTTCAGACATATGGGAGTGAAATTCTTTACAGTAAAATACAGAGTTCACACTTAAAACATCATGGCTTTGAGAGTTAGCGTCAAAACAGTAGATGCTGTTCCAAGTCCTCCATACAGAGCACACTACCATAGTCTTTTGAGACTGAAGGATGCCTATGGGGGGGTGTATGGTTGCATCTCACATGGGCAGTAATTTATGGCCCATGTTTGGTGTTCAGTTCTTTTGTAGTTTTGTTGTTTTGTTTGTACATTTGGGTAGTTATCCCTAGGGTTGTATTTTAGTCTTAAAAATGGTTTGTGAATGAAATGTATTCCATAAACGTACCTTTTATCTCCAAAGTTACAGAGATCAAGGGAGAAATTTTTGTGTGCTTTTTTTAAACTAAGATTTTTTTATGGTAAGAAAAATGGTGAAATGAGCAGTAGGAAACCTTAGGATGTTATCAGTGAGGGAGTCTGCTTCAGCATGTATAAGAAGAAATGAAAAGTTTAAGGAACAAAACTATCTCATGCTAACCTACCCCATTCCTTCCCCTAACCCCCAAAGTCATGGTGACCCACTGGCTGCACACACACCCACTCAGTACAGAGCTGCACAACCCCAGTCCTGCCAGAGGCCAAGAGAGCCCCTCAGTATTTTGGGGTGCCTGGCAGGACCCCCATCAGAGGCTAAGTGTTCATCCCACAATCCTCTAGTGCAGAGGTATTAGCATAAAGTAGCTAGGTGTTCTGCCCATAATTAGCATAAGGTATTAGCATATGCTAATAGCTGTGCACTAGGGGATTGTGGGAGGAACAATTAGCCCCTGATCGGGGTCCCTCAGGGCACCCCAAAACACTGAAGGGCTCTCTTGGCCTCTGGCAGGACTAGGGCTGTGCAGCCCTATACTGAAAGGGAGGTGCACCCAGGGGTCACCATGACTTGGGCGGTTAGGGGACAGAATGGGGGTGGAGAGGCAAGGGCCATTCTAATTCATGCCTTGCAATGGAAATGCCATGTCATAAACATGGTTTTCTCAAGAGGAGGCTTGTTCGTTGCATATTATATGTCTTATTGATTTCTGTGACTTCCCTAGATTGTGCTTGTGATTAATCCTGTTTTTTCTGAATCTCTTTTTTGTTAGGCTGTATTGCAAAGGTAGCAAGTCCTGATGATGTTTTATGTTTTTTTTCCCTGTGGTAAAAGATCAAGGCAAATGCTCTGATTATTGTATAATTGCACTCATTTCACACACTAGTAAGGTTATGCTCAAAATACTCCAAGCTAGGCTTTAGCAGTATGTGGATTAAGAACTTCCAGAAATACATGCTGGATTCTGAAGGGGCAAAGGAACTAGAGACCACATTGCTAACATGTGCTGGATTATAGAGAAAGCCAGAGAGTTCCAGAAAAACATCTGCTTCTGCTTCATTCACTATGCAAAAGCCTTTGACTTTGTGGACCACAGCAAACTATGGCAAGTCCTTAAAGAAATGGGACTGCCTGATCACCTTATCTACCTCCTAAGAAACCTATATGTGGGACAGGAAGCAACAGTTAGAACTGGATATGGAAACACTGATTGGTTCAAAATTGGGAAAGGAGTATGACAAGGCTGTATATTGTCTCCCTGCTTATTTAACTTATATGCAGAATACATCATGCGAAAGGCTAGACTGTATGAATCCCAAATTGGAATTAAGATTGCCAGGAGAAGTATTAACAATCTCAGATATGCAGGTGATACCACTCTGATGGCAGAAAGTGAGGAGGAATTAAAGAACATCTTAATGAGGATGAAAGGGGAGAGTGCAAAAACGGTCTGAAGCTCAACATCAAAACAACTGAGATCATGGCCACTGGTCCCATCACCTCCTGGCAAGTAGAAGGGGAGGATATGGAGGCAGTGACAGATTTTACTTTCTTGGGCTCCATGATCACTGCAGATGGTGACAGCAGCCCCGAAATTAAAAGACCCCTGCTTTTTGGGAGGAAAGCGATGACAAACCTCGATAGCATTTTAAAAAGCAGAGACATGACCTTGACAACAAAAGTCCAAATAGTCAAAGCTATGGTTTTCCCTGTAGTGATGTACGGAAGTGAGAGCTGGACCATAAAGAAAGATGACCGCCGAAGAATTGATGCTTTTGATTTGTGGTGTTGGAGGAGGCTCTTGAGAGTCCCCTGGACTGCAAGGAGAACAAACCTATCAATTCTAAAGGAAATCAACCCTGAGTGCTCACTGGAAGGACAGATCCTGAAGCTGAGGCTCCAATAATTTGGCCATCTCATGAGAAGACTCCCTGAAAAAGACTCTGATGTTGGGAAAGCGTGAAGGCAGGAGGAGAAGGGGACGACAGAGGATGAGATGGTTGGACAGTGTCATCGAAGCGACCAACATGAATTTAACCCAACTCTGGGAGGCAGTGGAAGACCGGAGGGCCTGGCGTGCTCTGGTCCATGGGGTCACGAAGAGTCAGACACGACTAAACGACTAAACAAGAAGTAACATAATGAAGTTTAGTTTCCCAGAGTTGTTGCCAATGATGTTTTCAAGAGAAAGATTCTTAAGTTTATAACAACAAAGTAATACCAAACTAACTTCCTTGAAATATGAGTGTCTAATTAATGTCCAGTTTATTTTCCTTGTGTTTCCCTGCATCTCCTCCTCTCTTCAGATTCACTGCTACTCAATCAGTGGTGGGGAATATAAGACGCTATTTCTGCCATAGAGAATAGTCATCCAGGGATAGTCATAAAGCAATACAGTTAAAAAATATTTTTCACACAGTGGTAACACAATGCTAATTAGACCGATTTATCGCTTCTCCATTGTCAACTGCTGACGACTTGCAAGCAAGCTAGTTCAGCTGCTTGTTTCCACCTGCTGGTTGATTGGGGAGTTTCCCAGATCAAACGTGGGTAACCGCCATTCCCCCTGTGATCGGCAGGCTTCTCCACGATTTCACCACCTTTTTGGGGTGGTTTTAACCTCCTGGGGGTGTCCCAAACAGGTTGGAATTCAGCCCAGGGGACAGAGCTCCGTCCTCCTCCTGCTGTCTTGTCGCAGTGTCAAGCCGGAAGTCCTTGTTTTAGTGTTTGTTGTGCTCTTAATTTATTATCTAGTTTACTTATTTTCTGGATTCTCAGCTGTTTGGGATACAACATTTTTCACTCTGTTTCCTTCCAATCTTGCATATGGCACCTCTGGAATCATAAGTGCTCAGACACAGTATGTCTGTTGTTGTGTGGAAAAAATATTCTTTCTGCAGATTTTGTTAGCAGATGTTTTGGAAACTGTTACAGATTCCTTCCTTTTACAGTGGGGTCTTGACTTAAGAACAGCTTGAGTTAAGAACATTTTGACTTAAGAACCGCTCTCATAGGAAAATATTGACTTGACTTACATACTTAGATTT